AGACAACGCAGAGCTTGGAACAAGTTAATCATTAAATTAGTAGCCCTCCCGTTTTATTGGGAAGCTAAGCTTGGTTTAAAAATTACAAAATTAGCCCAGCTGGCGTGGCTCAGCGGTTGAGCATGGACCTATGAACCAGGAGGTCACAGTTCGATTCCCGGTCAGGGCACATGCCCAGGTTTCTCGCTTGATCCCCAGTAGGGGGCGTGGCGTGGAGGAGGCAGCCAATCCATGATTCTTTCTCATCATTGATGTTTCTATCTCTCTCTCCCTCTTCCTTCCTCTCTGAAATCAATAAAAATATGTTTTAAAAAATAAAAATAAATTAGGAAACTAGACTGATAAAATTGGAAGTGCATTGTATTTCCAGATAGAATTGGATGACAGAAATACACACTCTCATTTGCAAAGATGGCCCCTTAAACATCTCCCACCTCTAGACCCCTGTTCATGCGTACATCCAAGTTTTAACTTGCCTAATATTTGCAAGGCGCTGGGATGGATATACAGTAAAAAGATAAATATATCTGCTCCCACTGATAAAATGATTAATAGCAAAGGTGGGTAGTGATCAGCCAAGAGTTAGAAGTTTAGCAGGATGTTCTATGCAACTACTTCTATCTCATTTTCAGTTGAGGCACCACACCAAGGAAGCCACAAACCCAAAGTCAAGTGGGAGACAGCCCTGAATGGCTTCCGTGGAGGAAGCAAAGCTAACACAATTCAACATCTCCATCCAGAAAGATGGAGGCTAAATGACCGCAAGAGGCCCCTTCCCGTAGGACGTACCCAGTCCCTTTGTCCCCGCTCCTACCCTGCAGCTCAGTCCCCGGAAGGGAAAGATCCGGGGGGTGATGAGTTGGGAGAGTTAGGGCAGCCTCCCGTGTAGATTGCAAATGCCCACAATTCCACGAGACAGTAACTTCCAGTTCTAAACACCACGGCACCTTGAACTTAACCTCTCTCAAAACATTGCAGAACGTTTACCTACACACCAGTCTACCTCCTGCACAATAAGTATCACACCCTTAAGACCAGGAGCCCGATAGATTTTTATCTGTTTGTTTCTTGAGAACTCTAATCAGTGAGGCAGGAGGAAAACCAGGGATAACTGGAGTCCCAGACACCAATGGGAGATAGGTTTTTTAAATATATTTTTTATTGTTGATAGTATTACAGATATCTCCCATCTGCCCCCCATTTTCCTCCCTCCTCCCAGCCTCTACACCCTCCCCCCAGGTCTTCACTACCCTATTGCCAGTGTCCATGGGCTATGCAGATGCGTATATGAGTTCTTTGGTTTATCTCTTCTCGTCCCCCCAACCCCACATCAAGGTATGTTTTAAAAAGGGGAAAGCAATCCATTGGTTAAATGCTAATGATTGGTTAATGAAGATGAAGACCGAGAATTGGTCATTATTTTTAGAGTATGGGGATTCTTGGTGAGTTAGGGAGGCGGTATTGTAGAGTGGCTAAGACTTGTTACTAGCGACAGGCAGGTGGTTCTGAGGGTGAGGGAAGCTGCTGAATATGTATGAAGTGCCCGGGACATAGTGAGTTTGTATTGGTGGGAGCCATTCTTAGTCATATCTCTACAGGAGCAGTTTCAGTAGAGCGTAGAGCACAAAGCCCTCGTTGGGGAAAGTTGAAGAGGGCTTTGGAGGAGAGGAAGGGGTGCGTATTCCTTGGGGGAGTATTACCATAAAGGGGAGCGGAGACGTGAGCTAGGAGCCAGAGGGCGATATTAAACTGAGAGCAGTTTTGTTTTAAGAGGCGGGAAATAATAACAGCGTGTATGCTAGTGGGAGTGCTGTCAGCAGCAGGAACAGTTCTCAGTGCAGGAGAAAGTTAGCAGAATTACTCAAATGTCCTTAAGGAGAAAAAAATTTGTTTAAAACCATGGGAATTGGCGGAAGGGAGATAAAGGAGTTGTGAGTGGGGGCAAAGGAGCGGATAATGGTGAACTCGTGGACTTGGTGGGTTAGAGGGTCAGTGGTCATACAAAGGAGTTGAGGGTAGGAGCCGTGGACTGCAGATCCAGGGGGTCTAAAGCAGGACAGACATGTGAGTTTAGGCGGATCACTTCCTGTGTTTCTCTCCTCTCCCATGTGCACGTGCCCCGTAATGGTCCCTACCAGCTTCATCAGCTCTTCCCTGCATTGCCGCCACCTCCACAAAACCTTCCCAGATGCATAGATCAGGGTGAGTGCCCCTTCCAGATGCCCCTATGACACTGCCTTCTCACCACAATGCCCTGCAGTAGCTGGATGACCCCTCAGACCTCTCCTAAGAGGCTCAGAGAGACCTCAGGGCCACTTTTTGTAAAAACAAACATTTTTATTGATTTCAGAGAGGAAGGGAGAGAGAGAGAAAGAGATAGAAACATCAAAGATGAGAATCATGGATCGGCTGCCTCCTGCATGCCCCCTACTGGGGATCGAGCCTGCAACCCCAGGCAAACATGGAATTGAACCATGACCTCCTGGTTCATAGGCAGACACTCAACCACTGAGCCACGCTGGCAGGGCCAGAGCTGTGTTTTTTACATGGCCAGTACCTGGCAGGAAGTGAGCATTCAGACAGTGTTTTGGTCATTGCAGGAAAATACCTGTGACGGAATCAATAAGCCAGTCCCTTGGTGTGGTAGACAGAATAATGGCTCCCAAAGATACCCGTATCCTGATTTCCCCAACCAGTGGTTATGTTACCTTATAGGCCAAAAGGGACTGTGCAGCTTGATTAAATCTGAGATGATGAGATTGTCCTGAATTACCTGCATGGGTTTGTCATCACATGTCCTCCCCAGAGGGAGGCCAGAGGAGCTGTGAGGAAGGAAGAAGAGAGGCTAAAGGGATGCCCTTGATAATGGAGAAAGAGGCCGTGAGCTAAGACATGCAGGCTGCCTCCAGGGACCACAAAACCCAAGGAGATGTCTGCTCCTTGGAGCTTCGAGAAGGAACACACGCCTTGATCTCAGCCATGTAAGTCTCACTCGGGACTTCCGGCTTCCAGAACGAAGATAATAACTCGAAGTTTCCCTAAGCCAATAAGCTTGAGGTAATCTGCTACAGCAACAGAAACGAATAGACACGGCAATTACATTGAGTGTTCCCTTGGATGGTAAACAGTACATTGCCAACTTCCGCCAGGGCCCTAATTTCCACCTCACTCCCCATAAACAGGAAGCTAGCGTTCCTCTGCTTCCTGTCACCCATCATGAACCCTTCAAGATCAGGGATGACATGGGTTTCGTTGTGATGATGGGTAACTGGGACACCGTTATGTCCTCCTGCCACGTGATGAGATATGAAGGAGAGCCCAGCCTTAGAGACATGTCTCATGAAGCCGTGGGTGCCATTGGCTGACTTGCACCCCATCCCCATCCCAGCAGTTCCTCCCGGAAGCGGTCTGGCAGATGACACGCAGGTGGAATCCAATCGGAGAAAATACCGCACCCAGCTAATAACTCTTTGCACAGTCAGTTGTGAAAGTGACTTACGGTGACAACATGTATTATACACACTAAGCCGTGTAAGCTTTCCGGACACCTCAGGAATTGGGAGGCAACGGGTGTTTTATTTTTGACGCCGCTAAATGCATCCACAGCTTGATGGCCCTCATAAGTAATCATCGGAATTGCCCGTCAGAGGAAAATGCCGGAGAGATTGGCCGAGGACACACCAACCCAATAACCGAAGGTGTCACCATTTTAGGCCGCGCGAAAGTGAGTCTGGCAGCCAGAATAATGAGGGGAGATGAGCCAGCCTCTGAAGGCTTAGATTTCATGTATTAAAAACATCTTCATAAAGACTACTCCTGTGCACCTGTAGGTTTGCTGGGATGGATTTCATGTAAATTGCACCGAGGGTTAGCCAAGGAGCTGGCTCTGCAAAGATCTCTCTCAACAATTTATGAGACGATAACATTTCGGAAATTTAAATAGCACAAGGCAGTTTTTAAAATGACAGTAAAACAATAATAAAGACTGTGGTGCCTAAGGCTAAGGTGGAACCCAGCCTGGATTCCTTTGCAATGGAAAACTTTTACTCTTGGCCACAAGATGGTGACATCACAAAGCAAATCCAAAGACAAACCAAATTACAGTCCAAATTATTTGTTCTTTACTTGTGTTTCTTTCCAAGCCGCGCCTTAAAATTCTCATGAGTCAGCGGGTCCCCCTGACTTGCGTTTCAAGATCAGTTCCCTCAGGGGTTGTGGGAGCAGAGAAATCACACGAGACATCGCAGAGGCTAATGGCACAAAGATTAAAAAAAAGGAGACACCATGCAGTGTGAAGGCTATTCCATTGGGACTTTCGAGAGGACTTTGAAATTTCTCCTCGTGTTTATGGAAAATAATTCCTGCTGTGCTTGTGAGCAGAGAGAACATTCAGGAGACTTCTCCTAACCCAGGGGTAGGCAGACGTGTTGTGTTGCAGCTACTCTGCCATTGTAGCAAGAGCAGCCCTAGAGAGCAGGTAAGACTGTGTTCCAAATAAGTGTAGTTACAGAAGTTGATGCAATTCAGTGCTTAGGAATAAATTACCAAAGAAATGCAAGGCTGCACACTGAAAACTACAAGACATCGCTGAAGGAAATAAATGAAAAGGTACCCCAGGTCCATGGAACAGAAAGCAATATTGTTAAGATGACAACACTCCCCAAATTGATCAATAATTCAATGTAATGCCTATTAAAATCCCAGCTACATTTCCCAGTAATAAACAAGCTAATTCAAGCATTTATATGGAAACACAAAGGACCAGAATAGCCAAATTGATCTTAAAAAGAACAACAATGTTGGAAGACCCACCATTCCTGACTCAAACTTACTATAAAGCAACAGCAAGACATTCAGTTTGCTTTTGAAATATCAAAGTGACAAATGAGTTTTATAGGTTCAAAGCATAATGTGTCTAAACAATGAACGTTTAGGCAAAAAAAAAAAACACACCAAGAGTTTTCATCATCAGAAATAATTTTATTATTTATTTTAAAGCAGTTCAATGTTACTGGTAGCAAAATGTTACATAGACAATAAACAACCTGTTCCCTTAGGGTTACAAGGACTATTATTAGCTTTATGTTTTATTTTCATGTGCAAGTGTATTTTAAAAAGGCAACCGTTTTTGTTAAAAGGCTTTTATTAGCATGTTTTTATTCTTTAAATAACAGAAAGGCTAATAAACTGTCATTGTTACAGCAGGCTGTATGAATTGTGTTAAACAGTAAATTTGGATGAATATTTATAATCAAAAATAATTATTGTAAAATGTATGAAATGGGGTTTTTAGTTTTATAGGAAACATAGTCATGTCTTAACTTAAAATCCTAGTCTTGACAGCTGTCATAATGCAAAAAGTCTTAACTTGAGATCCTGGGAAGAAATGGAAGATTCATAAAATCTTATGTTTATTCCTAACAATAACTGTAATGATGTAAAGAAATGGCAATTGAAAGAAAGACTGACTGTTGATGTGCAAATATGAAACAGGGTCAGTAAATGCATCGCTGCTCTCCAGTGCATATACTACTTTGATTCTGCCTTTAGTTTGAATACAGTGCATGTTAATGTGCGTTTGTCAAATACCTTTCCCATGTGCTTATAACACGGACATACCTATGCATACAGTCTTTGCTTTAAGGCATGCTTTCCGTTTTAAGTAACTGGTTATAAATTCCACTTCTCTGTCTGATGAAAGAAAATTAAAGGTAGGCGCTCCCTGTTGTGGAGGAAATTCTTGGTGGCTTTACTATTCCAAAATGAGAGTAAGGTAAAGTACAAAAAATTAAACAACAACACACACAAATGGGCATTTCATTCTCTAAGCCAAAATATAGAATGGCGATAATCTACAATTTCACAGTTTATGTTTTGCATTTTTATTTCCATAGAATTATTTGGGGACTATTAGGTTTCCTTTCTCTCTGTTTTGTTTTAACCTTTCTATTTTCCTTTCAATTTCTCTGCTTCTCTATGAAAAAAAAAAAAAGATAAAATTTATCTAAGTCTTATATGTCCTATTTTCTACTGAACTGAAACTCAATGTCAAATTCAGAAAAAAGGAAAACTACAAAGTTGGAAGAAAAATAACTTTTTAAATTTACCAATGTCTCTCTCTACCTTAACACATTGCAACTAATAGACAACTATACTCTGTGCTTTTCTTTATTTTTCTGAAGGAGATTTGGAAATACAGGCAAAGGCCTTGGTGTCATCCAAAGTCAATTTACATTTCATTTATAACTGTTAAGTTTTACCCGAGTTATATGCCATTTAAATGGCAAAACTATGTTTATTAAATGCTTTATCCTCACAGTGTTAAACTACTGTATATTCCCATAGATAATTTTTCAAAATTCAATCCAAATCTTTAACATCAGTTTTTGGGTATGATTATTGCAATACTAATGGCATAAAAGAGGACTTTTAATGCTTCAAATGTTCTTGTATTCCATAAGGAGTATAGTTTTGCATCTTTGAATTTTAAACTACCTTTCTAATGAAATACTCTATATAGATATATAAAAAATGTTGAAGCTCAATAGTCCAATGAAAATCGCTGCCTATTTCAATTCCTGGATTAAATGTAAGTCAGCAAATATACTTTAAGTATTTTCTCAATTTAGGCATTCTTTTAGGAGAACAATCGATATTTGCTTTTTAATACACTCTCCTTGGCATACAATGAGGGTCAGACATAAAGTGAGCAAAAATCTCAGCTTCTCGATACTTCTTTTTATTTGTTCTGGTTTCCTCGGTGTAGTAAAACATGCTATGAGCATCTCAAGTCCTAAAATAAACATGGTATCCTATGAAAAGGCAACAAAACAAGTGAAGGTGACTTAATATTCTAAAGCAAACTATGACTCCTACAAAAATGTCAGCCCACGAGTTTGTCATCCCTGTGTAGAGAAGGTGATGAGCTCAATTTTGTAAAAGACCAGTTTTAAAGAATATAATATGATGCACCAAGTAGAGCTGGATTTTTTCATTGACTTCCAGAAAACCTTAAAATTTGTAAAAATTGACTTCAGACAGTTCGGATTATTGTCAAACAATGCAGTGAGCAGATTTAAAATCGTGTGTTTTCATTTAGGTTTTCCAAAACCATTCCCTGGATGTCTTTCCAATATTACTAGGAGAAATACCAATAAGCAGTAAGTTAAATTTCAAAATAACCTATATTTCTAAGAGAATAGATTTGTGTCAATAAGAGAGATTTGAAGATAGTCCGGTCTAGTTTATTTCATGCCAGCCATATTTTCCTCCTAAAATAGAGAGTTCTTTCAAGCAAGCTCCTTGTCGGAAAACAAGAAGTTCGTTATTTTTGTGTTATCAAAGCTGAGTTTCCTCCCGAGAGTCTTGACCAGTGGCATTGCAGATGCTGCTGTTTTGACTGGGTTCGCTGTTGGGAAGGTATGACAGTGGATCTGGTCGGATTAAATATCTGATAAGAGAAAGCAAAGCAAATAGTCAGTAAACACAAAACTAGTTCACGCCGACCCCTGAGAGGACTACTTCCAATGTATCTGTTCAGTGTTTAGGTTCTGTAAACGGTGTCTCTATTTAAACATTGGCAGAAGGACTCCCTATTGAGTTGGCCTGTAAAATTTTGCAGGGTTAGTATTAAGTTTTTGTTTCATTACTACTTAATATTATTCTTTTATTTAATTAAATTGAATGGGGTCATATTGGTTAATAACATTATGCAGGTTTAAGGTATACAATTCTGTAATTCATCATCTGTATATTGTAGTGCATACCCACCACCCAAAATCTAATCTTTTGTCACCATATATTTGACCCCCTTACGCTCTTCTCCCTTTCCCTCTGCTAAGAGCCATACTATTGTCTGTGTCTATAAATTTATTTGTTTTGTTTGTTCATTTGTTGCTTTCTGTTTTATGCCCCACATATGAGTGAGAGCATATAGTTTTTGTCCTTGTCTGTATGACTTATTTCACTCAGCATATTCTCAGAATCCATCCATGTTGTCACTTTAAATATCAATAGCATTGTAGGTTGATAAAGAAAGCTAATATGCACTATGATTATTAATGCTATATCATCTAGTCACTTATTGTTCTTTGAATCAAATGAATGTTGCCCTTCATTTAAAATGGACTTTTGGGAGTGATTTTTTTTAGAAAAACATAAAAGACGTGAGTATAACCCAGTATCCCCCAAATTAACTGACGTAGCTGCAAAACTTCCTTCCCTAATAGTATCACTATGAGTCTAATAAAATAAATTTCTAAAATGTGCTTTATGTACTATTTGTCAAAGTAGGCATTTTTTCATGATATTTATCATTGCTGTAGTTATACTAAAATTTAATTATCTCAGTGTCACAAATATGGATCATTGTATGTGAATAATACAGTTTCTGATGAATAAAATTACTACCTTACACCTTTTCCTAATATGTGTATTGATCTACTTGACTTTGGCTGGTAGGAAATCTCAGGTCTTTGGAACTAGATAGTGTGAGATATTTCAGGTTTTCCTTTGAGCTGATCTCTTATTATTCCACTAGGGTCCCTAGGCCTGGCTGGCGATCAGGGCCGATTGGGGCCTTCTGGCTGCCAGCCGAGGCCTCCCTTAGTTCTGCACCACCCCCTGCTGGTCAGTGCATGTCATAGCAAGTGATAGAACTCCCAATCTCCCAAACTCCTGTGGGGACACGTTGCATATTAGCCTTTTATATATATAGATATATTTTCTCTTATTTCCCCAAATATATACTAGCTCACCAAATACAGAATTCATGCTGCCATTTCCTTCTTTTATTCCTTTACAGTTCTGTGGTGTGTGTTTTTTTATGGTATTAAACACAGAAATATAGAAAATGCAAATGTGTTTCTTGAGCACAAAAATTAGACTTGGACATTTATACCACAGGAATCATAGAGGCTATACTAGTGGGGATCAAAATAAAAAATAATAATAATAGGTGGCTTCTGAAAATAAATGCCTTGTGTGTGGGATGTAAGGTCAACTTACACAACATCATTCAACTCTAGTCTGGTGTCCGGAGACGGGTTAATCAGGATGTATGACAGGGTGCTCTGGTGGTCATTCATTTCATCTGGAAGACAAATCAGTGCCAGGTTTGTTATGCTACTTACAGAACATCAAAAGGATTCTTAGAGAGCATCTTATCTTCAAACCATAGAGCTGTCCAGGAGAACTTGCTATAGTGTTGTCCACCGTAGAATGGTATACACAACTGACTATTTCCAAATGGTTGTCATTGGAAATGTCTGCCGGGCACTCCTTTCCGTCCAAAAGGTGGTACATTAAACCATCTAATTCTGTTCAGAACAACCACAGTTATCTTCTACCCTTGAAATGTTGACACTGAAATAGCTTGACAAGATGTCAACTTGATTGATTATGCTTTTATCAATGATAAAAAATGATTGTGGGTATAGATGGCCAATCTCAGAAAGAAATATTCCTGTGGGAAATTCAGTGAAGTATCATCTAATGACCTTGTGTTTAGAAAACACAACAGAAGTATATCTGGGAGGCTTGAAGGCCCTAACGATGTTTGACTCTGTCCCATGAGGTGTCTGATAAAAGCCATCCTATTGGTTTTGCAGAATGCAAAGGATCCCATGGGGCAGCATTGAAGTGTAAGTTTCAAGGAAAGTGTACAACCAAGTTATTTGTTTTTCCTTGAAAACAATATCCAGGGTTCACCCCCAAAGTATATACACACTTTGAATACTCATTCCAGTGGGTTAAATCTGAAAAGAAAGAAACATCCATGGAGCTACCAGCTGTGAAGTGTGTATACAGTTTGGGGGGATGCCCTGTATATGTTTTAAAGTCAAAGGCTGTGTCATTTTAACTTTGTCAATTGCATTGGAGGACATGCCCATACCTCAAGGGCAGAGCACTGACTTTGATGATACAAAGACACCGACAAAGAAAATAGCCCTGGCACCTGAAGTTCTTAGCTGCCCAGGTTATAATACAATGTGAATGTAAACCCATGTGGACCCATACCTCAATGGCACTAATTACCCTCCAAGGGTAATGTTTTTAGGCTTTGAGGGTATTTTTTTAAATCCCTGCCCTAGAGCCATCGGACCCTCCTAGGCACTCCAGCTGTAGACAGGTGTGGCTCCTGAAAGAGGTACTACATTTTACAGTTTGACTCAAAACCGAAGAATGTATTACAGACCAAGGGAGGCAGATCAATACATAACTGCATGCAATTAATGCAAATGACTTTTATAGGCCAGTGTAGCTGGCCCGGTAATTCCCTGCACAGGGGAATACTTGGTATGTTCATCAAATGAGGGCTGCCACTGTGCTTATCTACCTAAAATTCTGTCCCTGGAATAGAAAAGGTAATACTTGTAATTATATTTCAAATTGATACACAGATGGGCCCTATTTTTAAAAATCTATAAATGAAAGTCCTTATCTTATAAGGTATGTAACTGCAGTAAACTAAATCCATCATCGTATGTCTGCAAAACTTTTACAATCCAAAGATCATCAAATTAATAGTCAAATGAAGAGATATATTTGGTTGTGTATATCCCAAAGTAGATACAAAGCATTGTATTCTGCCATGGGGATAAGGTTGTCAGGCAAAATAGAGAGTGAACTGTGAAATTTGTATTTAAGATTAAGGAGCTAACAAATTTTAGCATGAATAGGTCCCAAAGATTGCATGGGCCACACTTGTCCTAAACAGTTTTTTGCTGTTTATCTGAAATTCATATTTCACTGGGAACCCTGATTTTCATTTGCTAAACCTGTCAATCTTACCCAGGGAGGGTAGATGGCTGACTCTGGAGATGGAATTCCAGTGAGTACATACAATGAGCTACTCCAAATAAGGTACAACACTGACTCAAAGGATATTGTTCTGATACGGGATAACCGGGATCATCTGCCTATACAAAAAGCAATTTATGTGTGCTTCTGAGAAGTTTCCCCTGTGTGGATTTCCACAACTGCTGTACAAAGGAACAGAAATTAATAGGGCCTCCTGGAGACGAAAACATAACATAAAACATAATACTCTGAATTGCAGTAAGTCTCATAGCATACCTCCTTCCCGTTTGTCTAGGTACGACTCAAATTCGTGCATAAACAGTGGCAGCGTTATTGAACTTCCTTATATAAACAGCACACAGTATCAAACAGTGGCATTAGGGGGAAAACAAGCTTAACAAACAACTTCTCAGGCAACATCCACAACCAGCCTTTCTCCTTGCTTATTCACAGGATGTTGTATTCATTTTTGGTTCTGGGATGAAGTCAGTATCTACTGGGGACTTGGTTTGCCTGTTACAAATGTAAGCACTGCCTAGCAAATGGAGCGGGTTCCAGCCGTAGACAGAGCGAGTGTGTCAGTAATTTTTATTTTCCTACTCAAGTTTTATCATTCTGAAGATTTTGAGTTTTCCATGGACTCCAGGAATTGGAGCAAACATTTTACTAAGGAGTTCAATTCAATGACTACATATGGTTTATATGGAGACCTGGGTAATATCATGAAGAGACCACATCACTCCTATTTCCCATCCCTCACTGACTCCTCCTCAAGGTGAGGTCAATAGAAATTTTAAAAAGTAGCTGAGTTCAAAGCCATCTTCTCCCCTTATCTCTATAGTACAACACTTTCCAACTTTTTTTTTCCCACATCATGGAAAACATACTCACATTAGGATAAAGGACAAAACTGCTTATGGTGGGCATTGCCATGCTGAGGGATGCCTCTAACCACCTGAGAACCTCCCCCCCCCCCCGGGGGGGGGGTGTTTCTGAAGGTCCAAAGGCTCAGGATCCTGATAAAACACGTGACCAACTGATAGCACGCTATTGGACTAGGCATCATCTTTTGGGTAATTCAGTTCTAGACACTCAGCCTCTCATTTAAAAAATAATGCTTCTTTCCTTAACCTTCTAGAAATATGAGTGTTTTCCGGAGTTCTCTTGTCGTCTTTCATCTGGGGTTCCTTCATCTACTCCTATGGCTTTAATCAAAATCTATATGCAGATGACTATCAGGTCTATGTAAGCATCTTATTTCTTTCTCTTGGGCACCAGGCAGCAAAAATCCAGCTTCTTACACAACATCGCCATTGGGATTCTTCCAGGCACTCAATGTATTCTCTTCACCCCAACATATTTGTCTTCTTTTTCTAAGTTCCATAAGTGTCACCACCTCTTAGACGTTCAAACGAGAGCCCTCAGAAGTCATCTTTTGACTCTTCCCTTTCTCTCTCCTTTATGTGTCATAGCCAATAAGTCAGGAAAATCTGCTCCTTCTGGAAGAGGCCACACCTCCTCAGGGACAGTCAGATTCCGGCTCGTGGTTGAATCAGCCATGATGCGTTGTGTGTAGAGCATGTAGAACATCTTTCATTGGTGAAACACTGCAGGACCCTGACGGCGGTGCAGAAAGTACATGTGGTCTGGTGGAAACGCGCCAAGATACTGAGTCCGAGTCATCCACTGAAGTGCTGATGCGAATGTACACCAGGCCAGGTGACCCACGGAAATCATTTAAGTCCAGGCCCTGTTGTGTCGCCTGTAAGAACTCCATTTGTTCACGCATTCAATGTGCTGTTACTGGGTTCCTGTGTGTCAGGAAATGTGCAATTTGTTGGGGATACAAAGATGAAAAGATGAGTAAGACAGTCCCCTTTCCTCAAGGAAGGCAGGCAAACGTGCAAAATGCTAATTGTTTTAAAGCACACATCCTCAAGGGAGGTGGTATTGCTACCAAAGGTGCAAAATTTGTTTTTGAAGTGGGCAAAAAAAAAAAACACTGATAGATATAGTACTTAAATAGACATATGCTAGATCTGTGGTATTTACTGAATGCCAGTTCTGGGCTAAGCACACTATTGTTCATCGTCCCCTTTGACATATACAGCAAACCTCTGAGATAGGTGTTCTGAGCTACACTCCCCAAATGATAGAGGTTAAATGGTTCATTAATTCTACTGGCTGACACTGGAATAGAAGGTCCATAAAGGCAGAGGTCTTGTCTTAAGAGGTCATTGCCCCATTCCCATGCCTGGAATAACGCCTGGAACAGTGCTTGGAGGGTAGTCCAATAATATCTGTTGAGCAATGGATGAATGTTTGAGAATTAGAAATACAGGGAGCACCTAGCTCCCATGATGTGGTAGGTTCCACATCCTGCTGTTATCTTTATGTGATTGGTCATGTGCAGTGCATGGCTTTAGAATGAATGTATGGGTCTGTGGATAGATAGATGGATAGAATGAACAAAAAGAGAAAGAAAGAGAAGCATAAAAAGGTAGGCTGTATCCTTTCTTTCTTTCTGTAAGAGTGTGAGAATTACATTAACAAATTTATACTAAAAATTATAGAGTATAACTAAATGATAGAAGTGTTATTAGCAGAAACATAACATGTTCCTGGTGATTCTCCCATGCAGTTAGTTGGTGCGTTTTTGTGTCTCTTGGAGCCCAGCTGTGATCCGCCTCACTGCCTCCAGCACCCGTGGGGGTTATTATGATTTTCATGAAACACAGCTGGACCTGGACAAACAGTCATTTACTAGAACTTTCCAAAAGAAGAGACTGTAGCTAGATAACAACTAACAATTGGACACATAAATATAGGACTGTAGTTCTATGAGAAATACGATCATACTTCATAAATTGGCAGTGAATTACTAACATTATTTTAAAAGAAAATCATTGTTCCCTTTTAATGTGCTTCCTAATGTAAGACTCTGTTTGATCATCCTAAAATGATGGGTCATGAATGAGTCCACATTTAAGTAGGAACAACACAATGAACAACCAATGAATCAGGGCCATAAGCAGTAATGAAAAGTGTTCAAAAAGCATCTCACTCTGGTCCTGGCAAAGAGCGGGGACTCAGTACATGTTTTTCCCTTTCTCTTCAAAGACACACAGCTCACCTCTTCTAAACTCTAACCGTATCGTTGGAAATCGCTCCCTGTGGGCATTGCTTCGAGCTGAGACTTGCATAGTAAAGGTGATATGCGGGCACATACAGACTGCTTCCTGTTTGTCCTTAACTGCACGAGGCTGCCATTATCGGAACTTCTGGTCTACCCAGGTCACATGTGCAACAAAACAGAACCCTTGGCATTTGGGTTTCCTCTAAGTTGACTGAATTTCTTTTTAAAATAACATTTATAGAGTAATAAGGGATATATTTAAAAATTATCTTTGCATTACTTATTTAGGCTGTGCCAAATGGTCTATATCGCAACCATAGATCAGCACAGAAGCCTACCACTGAGACAGATGGAGGTCAAGCAGCATTTGAGCTTTACATTATAGGTTTTGAAGACATTTTATTTCTGGACAACAAAAACCTAAACAAATTTTGTAGGAACATTTGGTGTGTCTATATCTAATACATTTAGTTACTTACCAAAGCCTCAAATTCAGTTTATTCCAGACTGTAGAATAAGATGTGGTATGTGTGTGTGTGTGTGTGTGTGTGTGTGTGTAAGCCAGACACTGGAGCCAGACAGAACAGAACATAAATCTCAGTCATGCTAGTAACAAACTAATTAGAAAAGTTATTTGACTGAGATTCCTTAGGTCTAAAATGGAAGAGTCTTTGTGAAAATTAAAATGAAGATAATTCATATAATGTATTCATCACAGTGCCTATAGAGAACTAAGCAAATACTTAAAACTTTTAGCACTTTCACTTTATTATCATCATCAGAATTTTCCGGAAGCGATTCGAGACGTGCCACTAGTCCCGTCAACTTGACCTCTGAACCAAAAATGTGATTCTCGACTTACTAAAGGAGAACCAAGGCTACAACGACTAAGGGCCAGCAATCACAAGTCCATAGCATACAATATTTTGAGCGAGCATACCATATCCCACTGTAGAAAGACCCAAGTGTTTCATTCTATTTTTCACAAGTTCAGCAAGCTCTTGTCTCTCTGACCTCCTGTAGAGGTTCAGTCGCTGCTGCGTTATTTTCTCAGCTGTTTTACCAGAGTGTCTGGGACCTTTTCTGCTCAGCCTTCGGGCCCACTGCATGCTCTTTCTCCTCAGCAGGGGGTGGTCCGACTGGTCGCTGGACGTGGAGTTGCGGTGGTTGCCTCGGTGATGACCTTGGTCCTTGCAGTCTTTGGTGTCTTCCCATTCCTCCACACTGATTGATATTTGAGACTTGAAAGGAAATGGACATTGAGAATTAGACATTTTAGGGAACGGTGTTAGCCTGGGGCTCTGTGACTATGTTTGCTCATGCCTTGATATTATCGTGTAACTCATGAGAGTTTTCACAGGAAGAGCCAAGTCATAGTCATTGATATTAACTTGGCATTACTAAAAAAAATACTATTAGAAAATATGTTCTTTTGGAATGATATATAAACCAGATAAAAATTTCTTTACATCCTCCAATCCAAGTTTTTATGAAATGATTTAATTTTTACATATCAATTATTTTATCAAATGATTTTTAACATAGAATTGTTTGAAACCACAAAAGACATGAGGTATTTTGTAACTTTATTCAAATAAAGTCCATGTAGTGGATTTTTCTAAATCTACCACACATAGTTCACATGAAATTTAAATAAGATTATGAAAACTGTTTTGTTCTTGGAATGAATAATGTTTTAACATTTATTAAGGTATTGCCTTTCTAAAGATGGCATTGGAATGTACCTTATAGTATATGATTTTTTAAAAGTCCCTCATACAACCCAGAAGAAATAAAAAAGCACTTTTTCATTCATGCATTAATTATTCACCACATCAAATGTTTTCTGATTAAGATATTAAGAAATATTTCAGGAACTCTTTGAAGCATTCTAAGTGAAAACATGTTGTAAATATTAACATTTCACAAAGATAGTCTAGAATCACAAATACAACTAAAACTGGGCTGTTCTCCGTATGAGGGGGGAAAAACTGAACGAACTCATACAGTCCATTGTGATGGGCTCTTTCACGACTAAATCTGATCATTAAGTAAGAAGCTCTCCTTGGATGCTAAGCCCTTAAAAAACAAAAACTCCCTGCTTTCAAATGGTTGCTTTTCATACCAGGAGGTCATGTGAAATGCCACGCCCATCAAAGTGAAGGTGTGACTCTGTAAGAGCATGGGCATGTGCAAACCTGTAGCTTCCTGCCCTTGCACCAGCAAAAGCATCCATGAGCCTGCTGCCTCTCCCCCTCCCTGGACGCAGTCTCAGCGCCAGCTATGCCAGGCCTGTGTTGCTGGCTTTCAGAATAATAGAATTCAAATTGCCAATTGAAGTTAGGGCAGGAGATCCAACAAATCCTTTCAAAGTGAATGTAAATGACGGAGGCTCAGGCAATGCCTCACACACATTACCTCGTGGCAGGCTAGGGAATTATCTCACGCTTAAACTCAATGAAAAATAGGGATATTTATCTACCTTTCTATTTCAAAACAGCACTGTATCCGAGTGATAAAAAAATGAATTAGTTCACCTTCATATCTTCATGGTAAGAGAGCATTTTATTAGAAAATTTTTAGAAACCTTATTTTAGCTATTAGAATTGAAGTCGGAAATACTACAAATTTTAACACCATGGTTTTGCAGTAGTGGATACCATTTAGGTCTTAATTTCCTCTAGTCTCACCTACTTGATACTATCTCCTCTGTGGAAGTGAACAGCATGAACCCTTGAGTCATATCTACCATCAGAATAGAATATCAATCTTTGTTCGGTCATTTCAGTTTATATGGACTTAGTAAGAAAAATGAAAACATATTCATTCCTTCATAGCTGAGCACTTGTCTTGTAGCGTTTTGTCCATCACAATCTTAAATGTATTTGGTGTGATCTTTCTCGTCCTAAGTCTCTGTAATAGTTTGATTTCCTACAAATATATGGAAATAATCATCTCGCCAGACCAAATACTCAAAACATTCTGTTCCTATAATGTCACTTGTCCTTCAAGGCATGAAACCATAACCTAGTAAATGTTTTAAGGGAGAGGTTTACGTCTCTTCTGATAGGGCTGGCTGCCTTCGATCGGGTTACGCATGAACGCTGGAATATTTTGATAGTCCCAAACCTCAGACGTAGCGAGCTTCTGAGATTCAGTCCTGTAGATCCCTATGGGGACGTCTCCGCTGGAGGAACACAGCTTCTGATAGAGCCGGGCGTACGTTCTGATCCAGAGGTCCTCCTCGGTAATCTTTATCTGGAACACAGGGATTACTGACAGCTCAGCTGCTTAAGAAATAACAACCCGGTGGTTATTTTTTCACTTCTTACAGGTGGAAATTGTTGATATCTTGAAATTTCAACATGCCTTTTCGTAAGTGCTCACTCATCTGTGTATTAAACTTATTGAAGGCACCCCCTCGCAGCCTTATTCCTGGGGCTCACCCCAACCTAATGAAGCAGCCAGTCACTGCGGGGCAGTATGACATTGGATTAGCTCAATCTCAGGAGACAGCGGTCACTGGTATCAGCTGGGAGTTGTTGGAAAGCCGTGGAGACTGTTTTAAATGGTGTGATAACCAGAGGCTCTGCTGGGGCTTAGTGGACAAGGTCTGCTGCTGCTGAAACTCTTAACGTACAAAGGACACGCCAGCACAAAACAGAATTGTCCATCCCGAGTTCTCCGAACACCCATGTTGAGAAAGATGTTAGCAGGATGAGCACAGGGCTCACAGCGGGGGCTACACATACTAGTCCTTTGTTAATCCTCAATTTGAATTGTTGGCAAGTCACACCTTAAATACACTTGGACACCGCATACTCCTTTACAAACAATTACAATTCAATTGAACTGCGTGAGGACTTCCTGGATACTGTTTTTCTGACAAAGTGAGGAAAAACACCTGTTCTGAATTCTGAACAGCTATTGACCTTGATTATTAACTTCAAATAATGTTTTCCCTTGAACTTTTCCTAAGGAATTTTAAAAAACTTTTTTTTGAGCACATATTAGGGGGGAAATGGCCTAGGAGACTAAGCCTAAGTACATTATCGTTGGACTTCAGACTGTTTATTGGAACCATCCATCTTTTATGCCAAAAATGATTAACTTACAGAACAAAGGAAGCCCGATCCTGGGATAGTGTCCAATCCCAGCAGGAGTCTGGTGATGGAAATCATATAATCCTTCACAAACGACTGCGATACAAACAAGATGATGAAATGTGTGGACTGGCCACAGTGTGAGCATCATATCACTGCTAACAGGCTGTTTCTCCTAACACATCAGGAAGCCTCCATTAAACAGGAAGTGAAAAATATATCCAGTGAGTGGCCTAAATGCGCATGTCCAGTTAGCTGTCCATAAGGAGACATGGAAATATTTATTCTCAAGAATATCTCGATATGCTTACATTTTATTCATGCTGATAGATATGATAAAAACATTTTTAGATTTTTAACAAAGAAATGAGTTGATTTAAAATAGAGAATGTCATAAATACATGGAAGAACTAATATTTGCAAGGAAATATAAATGTTTTACAGATTAAGCTCTATTCTAGTAGAATAATTTTCTAATATTTCAGTAACTCTAAATATTAATGAGTTCATAGTTTAGTAATAAATATTATCAGACTCTATGTGCTGACATATAAGATATATTTTGATATGTTGCCAGAACACTACTCAGTAGTGAAAGCCTTCGTAATGCTTCCTACATCTTTGATTTAGTCTTAGCTGTGGGTGAATGCAAACACATTTCACCATGACATGTACAAACATTCAATCAATTAAATGAAACTAGAGGCCCAGTGCACAAAATTCATGCAAGGAGCTCAGCCCTTGAAACCCCAGCTTTGTCCGGAAGTGGGGACAGTCATTCTGCCATTTAGTCTAATTAGCATATTAGCTCTTTATTATATAGGATGACTGCCCTCAGTTTGATCTTCAAGTACTAAAATTGGAAAAAATAATCATCTTGTTATTTCGCATAGCAAAGACTTTTAAAAAGTTATGCCTTTTAAGTAACTCTACTAGACTACTTTCTTTTTTAAAATGTATTTGTATTGACTTCAGAGAGAAAGGGAGAAGTAGAGAGAGAGTGAAACATCAATGATGAGAGAGAATCATTGGTCAGCTGCCTCCTGCACACCTCACACTGGGGATCAAGCCCACAACCTGGGCTTGTGCCCTGACCAGGAATTGAACTGCAACCTCCTGGTTCATAGGTCAACGCTCAACCACTGAGCAATTAGCATATTAGCTCTTAATTAACCACTGGACAGGCTAGACTACTTTCTTGATTACTCATTTATTTTACTGATGCTGGTATCAGAAAACTAAACTCTTCCATCCAGACGAGAACATAAGACATCCCTTTGTTCAGGCCAAGGAAATGGTTGATCATTTTATTGGCACCAATTTGATATCTTATCGCAAGAAAATACATATTATAAAAAAGGCAGCTTTTTTAACCTAGTGATTTTTTCTTAGATATTTTTTGGTCTAGTAATATGAATGTAGCAACATTAAATTGCCAAAAAAACAGACAACAACCTTGTAGGACCCTGGTACAAAAGCATGCCTAAAAAATATTTCAGAGGTTATTCTGAAAAATAACATTTCTCTTACAAAATGTTTCATTAAATTTTATGTCATCAAGTCCATGAAATAAAATATTGAATTACTTTCAGAGCCTAAGTCAAGTTAACAGCTCTATGAGAAACACCCAGTACAATATTTATTTAATAAAATCTCAGTGAAAGAGAAAAGTACACATTTTTAGAGAAAGGGAATTCTCGCATACCTGGTAGAGAAGGGTATCCAGCATGCTGATGCTGAACACCCGCCCGGCAGCAAAGGGCAGCCGGAACATGAAGGCCAAGTTCGAACCTCTCTCTCGTTCTTTCTGTCCAGAAATTTGAGATAGAAACATTTGTGAGCGTTCCATATTTTACATTGTTCTTCTTTTTAAAAAATATATATTTTTATTGATTTCAGAAAGGAATGGAGAGGGAGAGGGAGAGAGAAATATCAGTGATGAGAATCATTGATGGGCTGCCTTCTGCATGCCCCCTACTGAGGATGGAGCCCACAACCCGGGCATGTGCCCTGACCAGGAATCTAACCGTGACCTCCTGATTCATAGGTCGAAGCACAACCACTGAGCCATGCTGACCAGGCTGTATTTTACATTTTTCTGCCTAGTTAAATTTTCCTGATAACATGTGAAGAACATATTCTGATTGCATGATTCTTAGCTATGACTGTGTGATGACGTCATTCATAGTTATATTTTGAATATGTAACAAGGTATTCAGCTCATCATCCATGCTTCATAAACATTTATTGGCCTGAGTTTAAATGCGGATTCTGTAAAATTTTGCCTTGTTGCTCTCACTTCTACATCCTTGCCTGTTTCTCCCAGAAGCTAGCTAGCTCCATTGGTATCGTGTTGCTCTGCCATTCACACTATAAAGTCATACATGGTTCGCAGACATGAGGGTTTGCTTTCTGACACCGATCCTCTGCCATTGGCCGGGTGTCCTCAATTCAGTTCAATCCTGCCACTAACTACCCAGAGTTGGCCCAGCCCACCAGACTGCCCCTGTGCCCATCGCCCTTCTGCCAGCCAACTGCACTCCCATCCAGCCAGCTGCAAATTCAGGGCTTCCCACACTCCCTCCAGGTTCAAGGAGCTGCAGTTAGTTATTATCATTTTATTGTAGAGAATGCAAATCAGGAACAAATGAAAAGATACATCTGGGCAGGTCTGAGTGACACCCTTCTCTCAGGTCAACGTGTTCGCTGAGCAGAACAGTCTCCAGTCCTCCTCCTTCAGAGCTTTTAGCGAAGTGTCACGACTTAGGCATAATTAATGAGATCATTAGCCACGTGACTAAGCTCAATCTCCAGGCCCTCTCACCTCCCTGGAGCTGGGGATGGGGTGAGAGGCTGAACTGTTCAACCTTCTAATCATATGGGTCGTTTTTCCTGGCAACCAGCCTCATCGCTAAGCTACCTAAGGGCCCCTCCAGGACCTGCCTGCTTAGCCGCAAATCAGTCATGATTGAAAGGTCTGAATAACAAAAGTGACTCCTGTCACTCAGGAAATTCCAAGGGTTTTTTGAAGCTCTGTGTCAGGAACGAGGGACAAAGACCGAATCTATTTTTCTGATGATAATACCCCCTATTCATCTCACATTTTCATCACTTCGCCTCGTCCATCAGGGTGTAATTACCATATGATTGCTGGGGTGGAATTGTCGTCATCACTGGGGAATGGTGATGGTTCGAAAGCAATTTTAAAGGAAGTGGTCTTGAAGCAAATTGTGCCATAAGCATGAATAAAAGGCTATTTTATGAAATGCATTGAAACAAGAGAAATGAGATGCGTCGAGAGGGAAATGAGATGGAAATTTGTTTTCGCGATTATTGTCTTCCTCGTCTCTGTGGCATTATTACTTGTCACATTTCCCCTCTCTGCTGAGCTTCGTTACCAGGAGCGTCAAGGACGCCACGTGACCAATGACCAAGCGTGGGACATGTTATTGGGAAAACAGTGGCAGGAACTGGAATATTCCTGAGAAGAAGGGTAATGTCGTACAAAACCACCCAGCAACAAAAGGTGCACCACACCAAAAGGGCGGGCCAATGAAAGGAAGGGCAAGCAGAACCATAATGCTCAGGAAATGTCCTGAGAGGCGTGACAAGTCTGAAGAAAACAGTGTGAGATGCTGCACTTTGAAAAATAATATCAAGGCCCACCGGTGTGACCCAGTGGTTGAACATCGACCCATGAACCAGGAGGCCATGGTTAGATTCCAGGTCAGGGCACATGCCCGGGGTTGTGAGTTCAGTCCCCAGTAGGGTGCGTGCAGGAGGCAGCTGATCCATGATTCTGTCTCATTATTGATGTTTCTCTCTCTCCCTCTCTCTTCCTCTCTGAAATCAATAAAAATATATTTTTTAAAAAGAAAAATAACATAAATGGAGCCACTTCAAAATGGAGTGAGTATACACATTCCTGTTACACATAATTCTGCTATAAATCATGCTTTTAATTTATGATTAATGATGATAGAATAAGATATTCCATTATATTCACTTATGATAGAAATAGTTCAAATCCATCAATTCACATTTAAAAAAAAAATCTATACATTACCATTTTATCCCCCACATAGGAATTCAAAGCAGCATTATTGTTTTTATTATTTCACTAGAGGCCCAATGAACGAAATTCGTGCAAGAGTAGGCCTTCCTTCCCCCGGCTGCCAGCACCGGCTTCCCTCGCAGCCCCAGCTTCATCAGGAAGGACGTCCGGAATGACGTCCAGAAGGACATCCGGTCTAATGAGCATATTGCCCTTTTATTATTATAGATGGCAGTTCTTTCTATATAGAAATTACTCTTCCAACCAAAATGGTTAAATGCGACTTACCTTCTCCAGTTTGGAAAGGGCCAGGGAGTAGCAGTCTTTGGCTCGGAACTGCATGAACCTCATGTTGGCGGGGTGAGTCAGCTCGGTGATGATGCTGAGACTGGAAAACAGCCTGCGTATCGAGGAAACGTGCGTGTTACACCCACAATGCTACACGGTGCTTTTACCACCAGGCCGAAACCGTATCTTGAATTCAGACACGAGAACTGACTGGAAATACGCAGGATGTAAACAGCCCGTAAATGGCTCAAAACAACACCTTTCTCCAGCTGCTCCTTCTGCAGATGCGTTTACTTCCGTGCCCGAACACGGATGCAGGCGCCTGCTAGGGGCCGACACTTCTTGTAAGAGGGGAGCCCTCTCTGAGCTCCCGTGCCACGGTGAGTTCATACCCGTCCTCGGCTTTGACTCCCTGATCTGAGTGATGAGTGGCCAGAACCTGTCACTGACCCCAGGGAGGCTGGGCCTGCTGCCTCTGAGCAGCCCGAGGTGTCTGTTCCCTGACTACCTGCCCCTCCTGTCTGTCTCCACTGGGCCTCAGTCACCATCTCAGTTAAGACACTAGCACATTCTTAAAAATACACACTTTCAGGGTTGTCTGGGAAACTGTACGCCCTCTTGGTGACCTTAGTGGACACGTAGTTGAGCCTCACCTGGTCAGAGCCTTTGACAACTACGGTATCAGGTGTTTCATGAAATCCACCCTTTATAGGAAGAAACAGCCTGCGTATCAGGGAAACGTGATTATATTTTATTTATATTTTATTTCTTCACTTCTGTTTTGAGAACAAATATTATCATATTTCTTGATCTCAGTCAGCTGCAATAATTTGATTGAAATATAAGCAAAACAAAGACTTCTTTTACTGATTTGTTAAGGTTAAAGATAGAATTTGTTCAGACCCTCAGTGTTTGCAATAGTTTTGTAACCTTGGGCGGGTTAAGGAAGCTCTGAGGCTCAGCTTCTGTGAAGGTGGGTTGTTGTCAAGCTTAATGATGCTGTTTCGGAAGGACTTGGCTCACGGTCACACACACCATCCTCACTGGCTCTTAGCGGCGGCGGTGTGACTACTTCCCTAGCTCTTTGCCTTTTTTTTTTTCTCTCGCGTTGCTATTTCTGCTTGAAATGCACTTACTTTCTCCATCTTTTGAGATCCCAACCATTACTTCAGGTCCCTCTCAGATCTAATTGAGATAAGTTTGAAAATCGCTCCAGGTCAGAATCATTCTCCCCACGCTGGCCCCTTCGTGTTTGAGTTTTATGAGTTATGACACGTCTTGAACTCTGGTGGGTTTTATCCACACGTTAGCTCTCCTGCCAAATTGTGACAGTCAGTGTCTAATAGTGTGTCTGTTTCTTTAATTATAAATCTTTGTCACAATAAATAATTTCCCAATTTCATTTGTGCACTTTTTGTTTAGAAGTCTTGATGAAGAAAGAGGGTGCTACCATAGAACTAGTTTAGCTAGAAACACCGTGTCATCTGTATTCTTTCAGAAGCTCTTTGTTCTTACTCAGAAGTCACCAAAGAGAACAAATTCAATAAAAGCGCATCCCCCCCTCCCCCTCTCCCTCCCAGGAACTATTGAAAAATGAGAATGGCCCTAATAGGAAAAAAATATCCATTGGCTTTTGGGCCGGCATAGCTCCATCTGGTAAACCCAGGAAATGCGTCTATGTGCCCAGTCTCAGGCCATCTGGGAGTTCCAAAAGTATTTCTTTAAGAAATATTTTAAAAGAACAGTGTCACCGTGGAAATTAATACAGCAAACTTTGACTACTAGTAAAATTGGGATGTGAACGCCCTGTAGAGGGAGCTCTCACACTGTACACAGCTTGGCCATTACACCAAACAGCAAGACCGTGTGAACAACCAGTTTAGTTCATTCAGCTACACCCAATAGAACAGGAAAGCCTTGGTCTACAAGGTCTGAAAATATATATAAAGTGAAATCCTTGCCTTTAAATTAGACTCTGTGGCCCAATAGAGGGAACTACACATGTTCACAATTTACCAGGCCGTACATATTGTGCTAGGGGTGATAAATGTGGCTAAATGTTCACAAATTAAGTAGCGTCAACCACAAGTGAACAGAGAGCTCGTGAGAAACATCTGGAACACCGCTGAGATATGAAGCCAGAGAAGAGATTTATGGGAAAAACAGAGCTGCAGACAAATGAATATTTATTTCGTCCTTTGGGAATTTTTCTTTGAGAAATACAGCTTTTATCTTTCATATATATAATTCTAAATGGTTAAATCTGTGCTTACTTGGATGCTATAATCCTCTTCTAACACATGATATCAAATATAAGTATACACGTGTGGCCAGATATTTTGAGTCTTCGGAAGAGTAGGTGATAATATGATTAACCAGGTCATTTCCTTAATATGTGCAGGTGAAATTGGAGAGGACAACAAAATTTAGGGGGTGTGCCTGTTCTTATCTGTATGAATAAGCCAAAACCATTTATGCTTTTTAAACTGAGAAACTGAACATATTATCTAAGTCTGCCACCTAGTGAAAACCTAGAACTGTTAAGTAAGACTTAAATAATAAAATGTTTCATTGCAGTGCATTTTATATTTATAACGTATTGCTTATATTCCATTATAATAGTTTATATTTAAACATTTAAATACCTAGTAGATTTAATTATGTATATTTAAAGTGCTAAAGCTATTTCTGAGCCTTAAGAAGACCTACATACTTTTTGCCTGTAGAACATTTTAGATATTAAATGATATAATCAGTCTCCTTTCCCTAGGAACTAGGCTCATGATAAAGCAATAATGTAATTGAAAAATAATATAGTTTGTTCTACTTAAAACTTGTCTACAATTAATTTATGCTCTGACTCAGTGATGTTGAGTATCATTGCAGAGAAGTGTCAAATATCTATGGCATAGTTCTCTGCCTGAATTAATTCATTCAGTAAAGAGCTTTGACATGCCCAGTTATGCTAACCAATATAAAGATGAAAAACAGACCATCTACTTTCTGTCACCGGCCACTGGGAAAACTCTGGGGCTAGCTGCAATTGTGTATTAAAGCAAAACTGATAGATGACCGTAGCGGGAATTCCTGCCTGGATGAGTTTAATTAACAAAGACAGGAACATAGTGAGGATAATAAGGTTAGACTTAGCTCTAACATGGGTACATTACCTGTCCACAGCCTTGTAATCTTTCATGCCTAGTTACCCAGGATGTAAATGCATACCTTTGGCCATGGCTGGGCATAAAACCAAAATTAGCGCACAGGGTCCATCCCAAATTATGACTGCGCATGATGTTTTAGAATTTGTTATTGTTAAACTATAAAAGGATACAGATTTGTTATTCTGTTTATTTTTTTAATTATATATATATATTTATATATATTTAATTGATTTCAGAGACGAAGGGCGAGGGAGAAATAGAAACATCAATGATGAGAGAGAATCATTGATCGGCTGCCTTCTGGACGCCCCCTACTGGGGATGGAGCCTGCAACCTGGGCATGTGCACTTGACCGAGAATCAAACCCTGACCACCTCGTTCATAGATTGAAGCTCAACTGAGCAATGCCAGTTGGGTAGTGTTAGAAGTTTAATGTCACACAGTTCTGATCAACCACTGGGAGCTACATCAGTCTTCGTTTTTGAGTCAAATGAATGAAGACAACCTCAGTGAAAGGGTCTGGTGTTCATTCCTTCCACCCAGACGGAGGGGCCGCATCTCACACTGTGGAGCCGGAGGCCACGGGCGGGCCGGGCTGGGGGACATTTACCTGAAAAGGGTCTGCACGTTGACGATGGTCTTGGCGTCAGCCATGTAGTCCTCCTCGGCGCTCATGGTGCTCTCCTTGTCCACGACCACCATGTTGGCAGCGAAGGTCACGCCGCACCTGAGTAAGTCATCGAGGCTTTGGCGGAAATCAACAGAGAAAAAGGCCCTTCAGTAAGTCCCAGGACGGGGAGCGCCGCTCACACACGGCGACTGACCCCCGTGCTAGCATCGGTCACCCCACAGCTGGCTTCCTCCGAGGGGCGCCCTGGCCGGTGTTCGTGGGGATGAACATTTGGAGTCCTCTCTATTGAGCCCCAGAGTCTAACTTGAAGCTGATCTGAGAGCTGTTCCATGTTGGAGCTCTATGTTTCATTAGATCTCAGCTGTCTCAAAGCATATGCATTAAGGATATTTAATAAGACTTATTAATTATATTAATAAAACATGGACAACACCCATTTGGCAGTCCCAGGGTAATAGCACATGTTAACATTTTGTTTGTACGGTTCACACACTATTTCAAAGATTCGTGTCTATTTTTCATCCGTAAGATGCCTTTGTGAAGAGTGAAAATGAATGCTGATGTTCATTGCCGTGGTCGAGCCTGATAAAGATACATACACCTGGGAAATGTTTCTTTTAAAATTTTTGTTATTTCTTTCTGTAGGGCTATATGTTAGAGGTTGGAGCCATAAATACATAAATAGTGCTACTCAAGACTCGTGTTTAGTTAGCCTAAAGCAGTGATGGCGAACCTCTGACACGCGTGACATGCAAACTCATTTTTTGGGTTGATTTTTCTTTGTTAAATGGCATTTAAATCTATAAAATAAATATCAAAAATAGAAGTCTTTGTTTTACTATGGTTGCAAAGATCAAAAAATTTCTATATGTGACACGGCACCAGAGTGAAGTTAGGGTTTTTCAAAATGCTGACACGCCGAGCTCAAAAGGCTCGCCATCCCTGGCCTAAAGTTTTGGAGGTGGCGGCTGAATAACCTGATTTCTTTGGTTGCGTTAAACAAGGGTGCTAGCCTCACATACACGTTCTTGCAGGTTATGATAGAGTCAGCCTTTTCCCAGGTCACCGATAAACACTTTGCCTCGCATTCAGTGAGAAGAAAATGTTACCCTGAAACCTGAAGCTAGAAAAGCGCTCTCCTGTTGCCTCTGTTTCATATGAACTAGAAAAACAGGCTGAATTGGCTGAGAGGCCACACGCGAGAGAGCGTAACAGGGTGCTGGGTGCGGAGTTGCTGGAAGTCAGAGAAGAACCGGGCTGACTGATTTGCACAGCTTCTGGCTTAAAACAGCGAGTGTGAAACTTAAAGAGCAGCAGTTCCTTTCGGGTTCATCAGCGGCAGTCAGCTGCCTGGAGATCTTTTCCAAGTGCGCGATGGCGGTTGAATTAGCGGGTTGGAGGGAGTGTTTTCCCCCACGGAAGGCAGGGTTTCTTACTCTGCGATAAGGGGAGAGGGTATTACCAAAGCTTTGAGTCCAAGACCCCCAGGGGCGGTCCAGAAAAAAGACTGCGCTTGAATCAGGAACAATATTCTGTGCCAGAGATTTTATGGCTAAAACTGTGGAAACAGAATGTTATTCCAAATAAATTTTCTATGGTGAGAGGGCCCGGGACTCTGTCAGCCAATCAATATGGTGACTGAGCAAAATCCCTACCAGTACTTTACTTAGATGTTCTTTTTATCTAGGAAATTCATCATAATTGGTCTTACATCTATCAAAGTGCATTAAAGAAAGAAAGAAGCCGGTGAAAAATGAATGCGGCCTGGTCCCTATGGACTGTAAAAGTTATGCCTTAGATCATAAGCCTTCAACCGGCCTTATTAGCATTTTAAATCACGTTCTGAATTTCAGCTCTTAAAATCTTTTCTCCACCATTAAAAATAAAAATCTCCATCATTATTATTATATAGGAGAAGGAAAAGAGAGGTGGTGGAAGGTGAGTTTGACTACAAAAAGATGTATGGGTAGAAGTTATGATAGGAAAGATGACTGTTTCATCAGCAATAAATCAGTGAAATTGAAATTTGACCAAAATTCCCCTAGGAGAGAACCTGTGCTGGAAAGCTAGTCCCTATGCCTGAAAATAGTTAATTCCACACTCAACATACTGGCTGCTGCTGTTCACATGTCATCTTGGCAAATCATGTTAGTAATTATTATTAAATATGAGTTTAAATGTATCGAAACAATTTATAAAAATCGAATGGCATTTCTGAACCCTGTAGAAACATTTTTGTTATGTTTTAATTTTATCATTTTTATATTAACTTAATATTGCCTTATATTATTGCTTCCTTTTTTTTAACTAGGCTGCCAAATTATTTTTTTTAATTCTTTATTGTTTATAGTATTACATGGGTCTCTTTTTTCCCCCCATTGCCCTCCTGTCCCCCACCCAAAGCACAAGCCCTCACCCCCCCTGGTGTCTGTGTCCATTGGTTTTGCTCATACACATGCATACAAGTCCTTTGGTTGATCTCTTACCCCCTCACCCCACCCCGCCTTCCCTCATAGGCTGTACAGTCTGTTGGATGCTTCTCTGTCTCTGGTTCTATTTTTGTTCTTATCATACTTTGTCTCCCTCCACACCCTGCCAACAAAGTTACCTTCAGCGTGGCTGTTTTGCGAAGTTCGGCCACCAGATGGCAGCCGAAGAGAAAAGTCAGTATGGATGAAGAAAGTTCCAGGCAATCTAATGGGCAGAGCTTCCCTTTCTAGCCTGTTCTAGGACTTCCTTTCAGAGAGAACTAGAAGGTGAATGTTAGAGTCTAAGGGAGTGTCTGTAGTGTGTTGTAAGTCATTTGAAGGTTTTAAAATTGTGTTTTTAAGAAAAATCTCAAACAGAAGCGAAAGAGAATAGAATTTAGTGAACCCCCAGGGATCATTCACCCAGCTTCAATAATTATCAGCTTCAGTAATTATTCTCCTTCATCTCTCATAGGAATTAGATGCTCTCAGTTCTTCTTCTCACATACATACTGTTACAGAAGAAGAATTCGTGTCAGAGGTACATAGGCAAAGACGGATGGGCGGTTCATTCTCCTTTAAATAGCCTGTTCTTCCCATGAATTCTAAGTGAATACTATCACTTCAGAGAAGCATTACTAGTGACAAAATGTGGGACATGATCATGAGTTTAAGTAATTTTCATATATCTACATTTTAGTTCCTTGGTATTATGACAACTGATCATGTAAGTTTTATTATTGTAGAATGGAGGCTAAATATATGTCACTCTGTTTAATCTTCAGTGTACCCACAGCCAATAAATACTTTCAAAGTTACAGAACTATTTTTTTCAACAGGGCAAAACATAAGCATAAAACTCTCAATTGAGTTTATTTTGAAGGCTCTGGTTGACATTTTTTTTAAATAAAAAATTAACACATGTTATAGGAATATTAGTTGTTATCTTTTAGTTCTTATATTTTTATAATGTCATATTCATGTGTGTAAAATAATTAGTATTTTAATATGGAAGCATTGCACACATTTGACCTTTTAATTAACAAATTTTTAGAAATTATGAGCTCGGATATATGTTACTAGAATGAATTCTTGAGGAAATGCTCCAATTTATAAGTCTGACTTAAAATGAGCATTTCTGAATTATTTGGAAGGTTTCCTGAAGTTAAGATAAAGGTATTGATGCATCACAACGCTGAGCCTTTGGGTGTTCCTCAACCAGATACCAAAAGCAATAATGCTGTTGCTGTGGACAACACAGAACTGAGACAACTTTAGAAACTCGGCAAACACCAACAAAATCGACATGCAGCAAAACTGGCTTCAGTTCAACCACAGAGGACCGCTTAGGAAGCTGGGCTCCACGATGAACACCACACAAGACCGTAAGCTCTACATGCAGGATGCGTCATCTACGTGAAACTACGTGGTCAAGTCCACTCCTCATGCAACACGGCCACAGCACAGGACGAACCACGGGACACCACACCAGTTAGCGTGCCACGGACTTTGCCACCTACTTGTCAATAGAGCCCACCATGTAGTAAACCATTGGGAACCAACAGATTGCATCCAGAAAGTGGATATCTGGCCTGCGTGGCAGATGGGTTACAAAACGAAACACAAGGTCACAACAGGGGCCACGCCACCAGGGAAAGGAAGTGGACTTAGTTTGCATTTCCAAAACCAACACCATGGACAAGATTAATTTTAGGTGCTTCCCCCACCCCTAATAGTCATTAGCAAGTGTCATTTGTACTCTTGCTGAGTGATATAATGCAATCAGTGTTATGAAAACAACTGTTCTGCTTTCTGAATCAGAAACATGATGGCAGCTGATTTCTTTGTAACATTGGAGGCCACGTTGCAAAAGACCAGCCTCTGCGGGGCAACAGGCACCTCATTGTTGCAGAAAGGACTCCTCGAAACTTCCTGGAACAGGGTTTATTGGTCTTTCGTTTTTTGTTTCCTCATTTTTGACCAAAGGAACAGAGGACAACAAATAAAAACGTTAGATACCACTTTCGGGAAGTACTCAGGACTAATACATTTTACAACCGGCCCAGTCATCCTAACCCTTTGAAAGAAAGTCAAACCCCATAAAAATTATCTAACGGGCAGTGAATAGTGGATTGCAAAATCTAAGTCATCAGGAAAGCAAAGGAAATTTTCAGTGCAAAATAATCCAAAATTAAAATACAACTCTTGTTTCTAAAAAAAACTTGCCCAGCCGGTGGCTCAGTGGCTGAGCATTGACCTATGAACCAGGAGGTCAGGGTTCGATTCCCGGTCGGGGCACATGCCCGGGTTGTGGGCTTGGTCCCCAGTTGGGGGCATGCAGGAGGCAACCTATCAATGATTCTCTCTCATCACTGATGTTTATCTCTCTTTCCCTCTCCCTTCCTCTCTGAAATCAATAAAAATATCTTTTTTTAAAAGAACTGACAATGTATTTTTTGCATATATCAAAAGCCTATGGTATTATCAACTAGATAATACCATATAGTTGAGAAAACAATGAACTATGAATTGCATAGAAGCTTATAGTATATTATGGAGATATCTCTGTTTTGAGAAATTTCTGTTGATAAATTTCAAAGGCAGAGACAAGGCCAGAGTTTGTTCTCATCCAGTTTATCCTGAAATGTGGATCACTTTGGAATTTAAGAGGAGAGTTGGAGGATCCCAAATATGCTATTGGGGCCATCTGCTACTAATTTTGAATCACAGAGAGGGATATTATACTTTTAGGATATAATAAATTTGACAGTAGCATTCAGTGACCTATATTTACATTTGCAGAAGGATTTTGCAATGCTCGAGTAGTCGAATTTCACAAAGTACATCAATCCAACCTTTTCAAAGCTAATGAACACGGTGAAGCATGCCTTATTCGTGTTGTTATAAAATGTACGCTCTGACAGCGGAAGAATCAAAGTCATGGCACAACATAAAAGATGGATCATAAATATGCTTCTCTGATAATTAACGGTTCTTTAGAAAGACAACAAAAGTGTCCAGTTTGGGCAGAGTTCTTCTAGGCTAGTTGATTAATTAAAGAAAATGACTGTAATTATTTTGGTGGCATGTGTCCCACTGGTATAGAATGATGACCACATGCAAAAATAGTTTTAAGTAAAGAGCTCAGAGTATTCCCATGATGGTTTAAATCGTATCTGTGAAATACAGTCGAATCCAGTGATTATTTTGTAGCATAGCACTGATTATATCTCCCAATGAATCACGTGCCATAATGTGTCTGATTTAAAATATTCTGAGCAAATTGAAAAAAAAATATTTTTTAGATAATATTAAAAACTCTTCATTTTATTTTTGTATTTACTTGTAAACATACTTACGGGTTATCCAACAGCAGCACTATGGGGTTGAGTTCTTTCTTTGGTCTATAATAAGCCCTGAGAGGAACAATAAAATTATACAATCCATTTCCAGCTGTTTCAGCTGCAACTATAATTAGTTTATTTTTGAATCCATAGGCTTTTGCGTCTTCATAGTAGTTATGCTGGCAACTCTACAGGAGAAAAGTCATGCAAAAGAAAAGCCATTTTTATACCCTGCTAAAATTTGATGAAAAAAATGTTAAGATACATGGCTATGTAAAATTAATCTAACCCTAGTAAATCTTTTATTTTCTAACAAATTTGAAAATAGTTACATTTTTCTATACCCAATTTTCTAGCATGTTTCAGGAAATAATGTGTGTTGATCAGACAAATAAATTGCAGGTATATAGCTTGATGAAGAATACACAATACCCACATACACATGTTCTATTGTAAAGTAAACTTGCCACTACATCTACATTTAAAAATTATCCCCATGTATATGTCTGTCAAAACAGCACATTATATACTGCAAACATGCATTTTTTACTTATCATACTTCAGTGAAGCTGCAAAAAATCAACTACCCATGACTTTCATCTCCACAAGTATAGTAATAATATAATTATAGAACCATGTACCCCTAGCACGGAATACCTGAAGGGATTTTGTTGTTGTTGGATATGGAGAGTTCACAGGTTCAAGGTTTAGACACCTCTGTTTTGCTCTTTAAAAACATGACTGACAGACTGGCTGGCATGGCTCAGTGGTTGAGCATTGACCTATGAACCAGGAGGTCACAGTTCTATTCCTGGTCAGGGCGCATGCCCGGGTTGCGGGCTCAATCTCCAGTAGGGAGCATGCAGGAGGCAGCTGATCAAATGATTCTCTCTCATCATTGATGTTTCTATCTCTCTCTCCCACTCCTTTCCTCTATGTATGTATATGTGTATATATATATATATATATATATATATATATATATATATATTTCTGACAGATTCATTGGGTAATTTGGATAACTTAGTGCAGTTAAGAAAGTAAAATTCACCATTTTCTGTATTACATTTACATTCAAAAAGATAATATTCTTCGAACCCATTTTACTCTGTACAAATCATTTACTGTATGGACTGCACAAGAGGATTTGCATGTATGTCATTAGGAAATAGCATGACATAACTTTGCAGAAAAGCACAGTGACAGGTGCTTACCTTGTCTAGTCTTAAGCAGCAAAATGGCACTTTTTCGTGAAGGAGATGGCAAAACGTGGGTGAACTTCCTATGTATGGAGAGTAGGGGGGGTAGCCTTTAGCGTACCTGTAATGCAGTATGAAATGCTGAATCACCTGGAATAGCACATACGAAGCTGGACTGTTAAGTTACAGCTACGATCCTCCATGTTGATAGAGTGAGATACAGTTACTTTATGATGCAACTACAGTTTGATAAGGAAATAGATTAGAACCAGGGAGGCGGACTAGGGCCCATGTACCAAACCTGGCCCATCGCCCGCCTGGTTTTGTGAATTAAAAGTATATATATATATTGTTTAAAGTATTACAAATAGTAGAACATATGTCTCCTTTTTCCCCTATTGACCTCCCCTGGCCTCCCCCACCCACCCGGCACATGCCAACCTCCCCCCCTAGTGTCTATGTCCATTGGTTATGCTTATATGCATGGTTTTTATATTTTTAAATGGTTGGAGAAAAGATCAAAAGAAGAATATTACATGTCACATGAAAATTATATAAAATTCAAATTTCAGTAAGTATTTTTTTAAAAAAAAAATATATTTTAAAAAAAAACAAAAAACACAGCCAACCAAGTCATTCATTGTCTCTGAGTACTTTCATGCTTCAAATGCAGACTTGAGTAGCTGCTACAAAGACCATGTGGTCCATAAAGTATAAAATATTTACTAGCTGGTTCTTTTCAAAAAGGGTTTGCCAATCCTCCGTTTAAAACCAACAATTACAAAAATGCTGCTTATGTCACGGAAATACTGATTTAGGTACTTTTTTCTTTAAGGATAAAAGATCCATTTGAGAAAACTGAACCCGGAAATACACAGGGTGGGGCAGAAGTAAGGTTTACAGTTGTTCATATAGAAAATAATACAATAACTAATAAATAATGATACAAGAATAAACTCTGTGTTTCCTACTTTGGGCCCGCCCTGTATGTTTCGGTCAGAGATTTGAGGGTTTCTAATACTTTATAGTCAAGGGAGATACTGCCCCGTAGGAAGGCTGTTTGGGTAGCAATATGTAGGATTGATTCAAGATGTCCAGTAGGTATGCACACTAGTTCCCGTGGCAAACACCACCCCAGTAAACCTTAGAGAACCTCAGCATACTCTAAGTTTGAGGACATTTTTTCGTCCGGTGTAGCTTCATCTTCTGATTGGTCACTGAGAAGGTCACATGTTTGAAGGGATGATGCATCTGCAACCTCCAGGACAGGGGCGATGCTGGGCCTTCGGATTTCTTTGATTCCCTCCGTCGGAAGAGTCAGGGTAGGGCCACTGGCCGACCGACAGCTAGTGTCTTGCAAGTCGATAGCCACAGTGCCTAACACAATGGAACATGAGAGTCCATCAGAGCATTTGCCACTGTGACGACATATCCATCATTTAATGATCAAGGGGAAGGAAAAGGTAATCAGTTTAACCAGAAAATCTTGTTTATCCTTTCATTTCAAAGGTGATTTCCATCTTTATCATGTGGGCATTTTTGCCCACCCCGGTAAAAAATGCTCTATTTGTGTAAATATGGATTTGCTAAGCCTGTCTCTATAGTCTGAAACATTAGATCAGTGAAATGCTGCAATACTTAGGAATTGAAAGTCAAACAATCACCTTGTTTCAATTTACTGTACGTTTATATAAAACTAGAGGCCTGGTGCACGAAATTTGTGCACTCGGTGGGGAACGGGTGCCTCAGCCCAGCCTGCGCCCTCTTGGACGTCCTTAGCTCTCAGTGGTGAGAATGAGGTGATGAATAGAAGGGGAGCTTTAAGAAGAACAAGGAATATTTAAAACAGCCTTGGATACCTGGGTGGAAAACTTACAAAGGCAACACAGAAGTGCCAGGTGCTTATATCCTAATCAGAAATAGAAAGCAATTGTTGGCAGCTTTGAATTCGTTTACTGTTTTACCACTTCAACAGCTGAGCATTTTTGTTCTGTATGTTTAATTACATCCAGTTTGTAATAGACACAGTATGTTCTAAATGTGACTTTGAAATTGTAATAGAAAATGAAGCATCTCTATTATTCTTTCATAAAGAGAGAAGCAAATGGCATTCCCAAGGTTAGCCAGCCTTACCCATGCTGGCAATGATGCTGTGCACAGGCAGCCGCGATGGCCCGTGGTAGAAGGACCGCGAGAAACTGCTCTTTTTCTGCTGGTCTTGGTTCTTAAACGCTGAGTTCTCTTCCTTGGTGATATTAATATAAAAACACACATCCGTGGCGTTCATAATGTACCGGGGGCCTGGGTTCAGCAGAATGTTTTTATTGTCCTCCCTCCTGACACCAATCAGGCAGACACCGAACCTGCACATCAAAAAGGAGACAGAAGAGTTTTCAGAATTGTAACACAGCAGGGCCCCCGTTCTGGTCCCTTACGTTTGCACATGGAGGAAAATACGTCAACGCTGGTAGGGCAGCGGGGAACTACAGCCCCCCCCCCCAAAATCATCAGGGGAGTATTTGCGACTCAGAGCACCAACGGGGGTCGCAAATGTTGTAGAAGCCTCTGTCTGAACCCTTTTCAGTCCAACCTCGAGGCCGACTCGACAGACCAGGCGCTAGAAGCAGGTCCAACGTCGAGCAATAAGAACATTAAAAAGTTCAACATTCAACCCCGCCAATTCATTTGGACCAGACTGTTGAAATGCCAAAAGTAACATTGGACCACAAAGGGTTAAAGGTCTGACACAGTCAGATGTCACTTCCGCTCCGGAAGCAGCAGGAACATACTTCTTGTGTGCGTGGAAGGAGGCGTACGTGAAGCTCTTCCCTTCGTACTCGGCGAAGAACGCGCTCTCCTCCAGCGTGATGTGGTACACCTCGTTCCCCGAGCACCTGCCGTAGGTCTTCTGCCACTGCTCGGGCGACTGCTGGCCCTCCCTGCAACACAGGCACACACGTCCACACACAGCCATGAGCGGGGGCACAGAGCGCAGCACCCAGCCCTCCCTCGGGCCCAACCCGTCCAGTCTGAGCAAGGCTCCTCCCCCTGATGGGCAGCCAGGGGCCTGAGACCCTGCTGGTCTGGGAATAGGGTCTGGTAAGTGGGCGAGAGGAAGCAGCCTCTGTAACCTGGAGCCTCCCAAGGCCAGGTCACAGAGCGCTGGCCCCGGCCCCCAGCTGTCTGCCGGCAGGACCCCCCTGGCCTTCCCAGTGGGTGGTTAACGGTTGACCCTGATTGCAGGGCAGTGGTGCTGTGGTGGGCGGAGCAGGGGGCACTTCCTGCTCTGTGTTGAGAGTTCAATGCAAATGGGGCCTCTTTCTAGAAATGTCACCCTCAGCCTCGCTGGGAGTTGGCATGTTTCATGCTGCACCTAAACATATCCTGGGGCAGGGGTTTCATCAGAAAACATGCCTTTATCTCCTTTTCACTTCCTTTTTTTCTTGGTTAATCCTCACCAGAGAATATTTTTCCATTGATTTTTAGAGACGGAGAGAGGAAGGACAGAGAGAAACATCGATGGGAGAGAGACACATCCATTGGTTGCCTCCTGCACGCGCCCCAACCAGGGCCCAGGCTTGGGAGGAGCCTGCAACTGAGGTATGTGTCCCTGACTGGAATCAGACCCGGGACCCTTTGGTCCGCAAGCCAGTGCTCTATCCACTGAGCGACACCAGCTCGGGCTTCCTTCCCCTTCTTTTTCACTGACAAAGCGCATGGGTTTTATTTCCTTCGTCATCGTTTCTCTCGGAGCAGGGACAGTGGGTGGGAGCATGTTGCTCATTCAGGGCTTTGAACCCAGAGCCTCCACCAACCGCTTTGCGCGTCTCTTAGGTCCTTTATGTACATCATTTTCACTAAGCACCGGGCTGTGAAAAACATTCTAGAAGGTGTAAGAATGAGTGAGATGTGTTCTCTACCTTGACTGCAGCTACAGCCGACTCAGTCGGGAGAAATAAACACATACAAGGACTGTGCTAGAGGCTTTGGCAGAAAATAACAACATTCTGTGTGGATTCCCAGAGGGGGAATCACATGAAACGGGGGGGTTTAAAAATATCCCAGGGGAGATGGAATTGTGGGTTTAGCAACCTCCTCGAAGGAGGCAGAAGACAGGAATTCCAGGCAAAGGGACGACTTTATAAAAAGATGGAGGAGGCGGAACCAGGAAGTCTCTTCGGGATCTTGCTGTTTGAAGAACAGGCTGCATATCTGAGAGTCAGGGGAGGAAAGGACATAGAAGCAGATTAGCAGGAGAGCACAGAGGGCCTTAATAAAACCCTCCTATTAAGTCTCCTTTGATAAGGAGGGTGAGCTGGGAGGGGTTTTCCAAGTAGAGGGGCGGCCACACAAGAGTGGCATCCGGATTTCTCAAAATATTCTCAAAAACGGGAGTACTGTTCCAGTTGTTCATTAATAGTAGTAGGTGTGCTTAGAAAACCATTTCCCAGGTAGTCAGATGGTGCCGATGCACCTCATAAAATGGCTTTCCGTGCAGACTCCAGTGCCTGTTAGCTTATGTAAAAAAGAAATAGTAAGCCCAGCTGGTGTGGCTCAGTGGTTGAGCGTCGACCTATGAACCAGGAGGCCACGGTTCAATTCCTGGACAGGGCGCATGACCAGGTTGCGGGCTCCATCCCCAGTAGGGGGCGTGCAGGAGGCGGCTGATGGATGATTTTCTCTCATCACTGCTGTTTCTATCTCTCTCTCCCTCCCTCTCTCTGAAATGACTAAAAACATCTTTTAGAAGAAATAGTGATAATGAGAGTGACTTTCAGAGGCAAATGTTTCCTTTTCTCGTGATTATCCCCGTTCAGGCCTCCAGCGTTGAAGGCGTGTTTTGTCTTGTGTTGTCTTTGGAGGGGGGTGGGGGATGGAGAAAGGACCACCGCGGGTAGAGGGACAACCCATCTTTTCTACTTTCCATGATCAAAGAAGCAGGCTTCTGTGGGTCAGCAGAACTATTGGCACAGTGGGAACAATAAAAACCCGTAGATGTGACCCCGTAAAACCTGGTGTCCCCGTCTTCCAAAGCTGTTACAGGCAGAGCCCATCCCCCCCAAATTCCTAGGTTGCAGTCTCAACCCCCAGGACCTCCGAGGTGACCATATCTGGAGACAGGGCCCTTCAAGGGGTGATTCAGTGACAGGAAGTGCTTGGGGTGGGGGTGGGGGAGCCCTCATCTCATCTGACCAGCTTCCCAAGAGGAATTTAGACACAGAAAGAGACACAAGCCTGGAGGCTCCCTGAGGAAAGACCTTGGGAGAATCCTGGACTAGAAAAGGAAATGAATGAGAAAACAGATAAAATTCTAATGCGGCTGATCACTGGATCAATATCAATTCCTCGCTGGGATCAGTACGCTGCGATGTTGTAAATAAGATGTGAACATCCGGGCGTTTATATGGGAAGGGTATCTGTGACCTCTTTGTTCTTTGTTTTGTTTGTAACTTTTCTCTAAGTCTGAAACTAGCTCAACTAAAAAAGTAAACAAACAAAAAAAGAAAAATAACCCAAGCCTTGAAAAATGTCATGTTTAACTAGCATTTCCCAATCTTACTGGAGTATGTAATTTTATTTTTCTGGAAAAATACTGCGCATCTCAAAGCACTATAACTTCTGCCCTGGAACACAAATGCAGCAGTGGCAGGAAAACACAGACCCAGTATTCCTCCAGCACACACACCAATTAATTACACCGCATTTTCACTTAACATGTTTCTACTGGGCTTGCAGATTTCGCAAAACCGTTAAGTAAACTCTGGAGAAACAGTGATTTCAGAAAGCCTACATTTCACTTACGTGTAAGTGCACACAAGCGTAATGCTCATGAGACAGTTAAACAAGACCGTCCCCATCATTTCACAAACACTGAGCATTTGGTTTGAGAATGATAGCATTTCCCAAGCGAAGGAAACAACCCAGGAATAGAGGTATTCGTCTATGTCAGCGGTTCTCAACCTGTGGGCCGCGACCCCTTTGGTGGTGCAACGACCCTTTCACAGGGGCCGCCTAAGACCATCCTGCAGATCAGATATTTCCATGATGATTCATCACAGTAGCCACATGACAGTGATGAAGTAGCCACGAGAATAATTTTATGGTTGGGTCACAACATGAGGAACTGTATGTAAAGGGCCAGAAGGTTGAGAACCACTGGTCTATGTTTTAAGGACACCGATTACTTTGACAACAATGGACAAGACTTGATACAGCTTTCACGTGTGCCTGTCTGTATTTATTTATTTTTGTTTGTTTTTAAAGTTTAATGTGCAGGGTAAGTGTCAGTAAAGAGAAAGAAATGAAAAACGCAGTGAGCGAAGGGAGGGGGGTGTTGTTAATTCCATAGAAAGGAATGGGCTGCAAAGGGGGTAATTGACAGCAATGTTGTAAGTCTCTGGTCCCATCCCCTAAGCTCTCACACATGAAAACATACACAGGCAAAGCTTTCCTTGACATTTTGGTCCAATAGAGCATTCGCTTTTTATTTCTAATTGATTTCAGAGAGAGAGAGAGAGAGGGAGAGAGAGAGAGAAACATCAATGATGACAATCATGACTGGCTGCCTCCTGCAGGCCCCCTACTGGGGATCGAGCCTGCAACCCGGGCATGTGCCCTTGACCAGAATCAAACCACAGACCCTTCAGTCCACAGGCCGATGCTCTATCCATTGAGCCAAACGGCCAGGGCTATTGTTCTTATGTTCGTGGACAAACCTAAGGAGGTGGTAGTCTCCACCCCGGTTCACTTTCCAGGCGGCTCTGCTTTTGTTCATCCTTCCTCCAAAAGAGGAAGCCTCCATCGCCACACTGTCTTCTCTGAACCCCCCAGGGACCAGTGACCTACTAACTGTGTGCCCGGTTCCTTCAGCCTCAGGCCATCTGTCTCGTTAGCTCCCAGGTCTCCTCACAAACCCTCACACCTTTATACCCCATCCTGCTGCGCTGTGTTCGCTTTCCTTTCCTTCCCTCTGTTTCCTGAAAGTAATACTCTCCCAGGGAAACGTGTTAACTTGTCATTTCTTCTAAATCCCAGTATATGGCCTGGCGCCTCCATGGTTACCTGAATGCTCTCATTCGTCGCCAGGAGCTGAGAATAGCAACAAGGCCACCGTCACTTACATCTGCATTAGAGAGCAGACATTTCCACGGCCACACTCCCTTTCCTGCCAAACCACGCGTTTTATAGTTAATTCCCTACTGTCCAGACTCAGGGAGAAGATATTTGTGTGTGTTTTTTCCTCTTTTCCCCATTCATATGCAATCAGTGGTCAAGTTCTATAAATTGTGCCTGGGCAATATTTTTCTTATCAATTCTCCCTTTTTCCCCCCATTAATTATCACTGTGACCAAAAATATCACGTCTCAGAGGGGACTAATGAAAAAAATATGAGACTAACTGAAAGCAAAATAAAATAAAATTTTCCTTAGGATGAAACACCATCAAGGTGGGACGGTTCCGTGTCTATTAACCGGCCTGATAACTAGGCATCCCCTTGCCCGAAAATCATGGTCCATGTTCACCATCTACAGTAATTTGTGTCCAAACAAAAAACTTATGTTCCTCTTCCTAAAAGATTGCCCAATAAATCAAAATGCAGACTTATTAGCAACAAGAAAGACCACTGCCAAGAGCAGGGAGCACACTCACATGCTATCAAGGAAGTGAGGGAACCGGCAAGTGCTAGCATACAGGCTAACGTCTCAGTGCGCCAGGGAGCACAGCTACTTGAAACCAGCTCAGAGTCGCTTTATGACTCATAGACCCACTAGAACCAGGATGAATATATTCATAACAGGAAAAGGAAATGGAAGGTCAGCAGAGTGCTAACCAGTAGTAGTCAGGGTACCGCCTACATTGTTGTAGAGACTCCAAAATACAAGATACAGTTTTTAACATTAATATCCCTCTTGCATGAAAACCCAGAGGTAGGCACTTCATCCTTAATGTGGGGTTTCCATCCGTGCCCACATTCCCACTGGCTGGAAGAAGAGAAGAGAGAGAGGAGAGGAGGAGGGTGGTTGAGTGGGTGAGTCTAATTCTAGCTCTGAATCAGGAATTCCATTCTTCCTCTGGCCTGAGACAGGTCTCTCTCTAAAACATCTGGCCCTTTGCTCTGCAGCCCCTGATTGCTTTACCCATCTCAGTTGTCTCAGAACTCACACTTGGGATTTTCTTGAAATATTACAATCTGCATAGCACTTTATTTTAAAAATATATTTTTAATTACACCATTTTAGGTTTAGTATTATATTTATTTCTATGCGGGTTGGATCCTAAAATCTTGGCTTCTTTTTTTTTCACATTGTATCAACTAATAGAGTACACAATTGCTTGTGGCGCTCAACTATTTTTATTCAAAGTCACCATTTGTTAGAGGATAAAGTTTTAATAATATTATTCTCCTTTTTAATGGAGAAATTTGAGTATTGTTGTAAGCTTTGTTTCCAATTAACGGTTTGATAATCCTTGCATAAAGCATTTCGTAGAGTTGTCAACATTTTCCCCCATTGAACTATTTAATTCAGCCTGCCAGTTCTCTTATTATTAAATCAATCTTGGAGCTTTCTACTTTCTACCAAGGCTCAAGGGCAAAATTTCAAACATATTCTCTTAATAAATAAATCTCGACTATATCTTCAATTGAAGCAAAATATAGAAGACTTGATATAAATTACTTTAGTCAAACAATATTCTTAATAAATACATTAAACATGTTGAATTAAGTGTTTTTCTGTTAGGTGGGCTATTTATATTCAACTGATGGTATCTATCTGATAAGGTACTTGTATCTAAAATGTATAAAAAGAAGATTAACACTCTTATACTCAATAATTAAAGACAAATAACCCAATTAAAAAATGACCAAAGGACCTGGATAGATAAACAAATGGCCAAGAAACACATGAAAAGATGCTCAATGTTATTGGCCATCAGTGAAATGCAAACCAAAAGCACAGGGAGACACTACATTTCCTCCACTGAATGGTTATGATAAAAACTTGGATAATAACAAGCGTTCCTGAGGGTGTGAAGAGCTTGAAACCTTTATACCCTGCTGGTGAGGATACATAACGTTACAATCTCTTTGGGAAAAATTCTGGCAGTTCCCAAAAAAGACTAAACAGAGTTACCACATGTCCCATCAGTTCCACTCCTAAGATAGACCCAAAAGAAATGAAAGCATATGTCCACATGAAAATGTTTGCATAATGTTAAGAGCAGCCTTATTTACAACACTAGAAACAACCCAAATATCCATCCTCTGATAGATAAAAAAAAAATAAAAGGGGACCTATTCATATAATGGAATATTGTTTAGTCATAAAAAGGAAAAATTAGTACAATATTATAATATTAACATACCTTGAAAACATTATGCCAAGTGAAAGAAGCTGGACAAAACACACACACATTATATTATTCCATCTATAGGCAATATGCAAGTGTCTAAAATAGGAAAATCTACAGAGACAGAGTAAATTAGTAAGAGTTGGGATAAAATGTAGAGGCTGCTAAAACGTAGAGGGCTTCTTTATGGGGTGATGAAATTATTCAAGAGTTAGACAGTGGTGATGGCTGCACAGTTCTATGACTACTAAAAAGCCACTAGATTGTAGACCTTAAATGGGTGAATTGTAGCATGTGTGAAGTCTATCTCAATAAAGCTTCTATAAAGAAAGTTATTCTGGTGAACTATAGCATTTCTGTGACACTTAGTTGTAAAATAAGTGAGGTTTTTTTAATTTATTGATGTATTTTAAGAATTTGCAGGTCAATCTTAGTCATGGGAACTCCTTAGTTATGTGGTAATGATTTCTTCAATATTACTTATTTTAATGAGGCAAAATTCATTAGGGTATAATGGGAAGTCCTATTTTAAGGGTCACTAGGATTCTTTTTTAACTTAGTGTCAGATGCAATTTGTTTACCAGACAATATTGTGTGACAATAAATATTTCCGGGTAAGACAGTGTAGTTTAACCAGTCTCAGAATAATAATGTGTTAGTGTAGATGGCTCTCATTTTATTGTTTGCAACACAATGAAGCTGGTCTAGATATTTGCTTGGAAGTCGTATGATTCTGTGACAAAGATGGTATGGCAAAATAATGAATCCATGTGATGAGTTCCATGAATGTTCACTTAATTGGTGTTAAAGTAGTTTCCAGTATTTTATGTCTTCACACTGCTGAGTCCTTTCGTCAACAAAAAACAATTACATTCATGACCCTGTTCCATCCTTTCCATCAATAGATGAAACACTTGTAACTGTACAGGTTAAAATATTTCTATTCCAAACTCTAATAAAATTGTTTCTGGGAAACTCCTACCGTCTCAATAGAGCAGATACCTGATTCAAGGAAAGAGTAAAACTTGCTGAAGAATACCGCAGGGCACTTCCTATTTTTCACTTAATTCACACCATCTAGTATTATATCCCAAGAAAGAATTTTCCTTTTCCTTGATTTATTTTAATGGGCACTTCACTTAAGTAGCTATCAATTAACTTAATTTCAATCATCATAACCACAAGAGACCACAGTGAGATTTACTTAGAAAATCAAATTTTTGTCTAAAATCCCAAGTAAAGACTATGAAACGGTATGAGATGCAGTGGGACATTTGTCTCCGTAAGTCAGAGTGATGACTGTATTCCCTGAGTACATATTTCTTGATCACCCAAGTCAAAAACAGTCTGTGTTTTACGAAACTCTATCCTAGTAAATGAGAACAGCGTGGTCCAATACAACGTTTTCCCATCTACCTGGAAATGCACATGAAAAGTGATTTCTTTTGTACTATGTTAGCTAATCTTCTCTACTACTTTGTCATCGTTCTATACTAATTGAATATTTTTATTTAGAGGTAAATTATGTAAAGATAACTTCAAGACTAAAAACTTACCTCACATAAAAAAAAAATGGCTTTATGGTTTTACACTAGTGATTGTCATCATCTTGTTCTTTAATGTTTTATTTGTTAAGTATTCATCTCGAAATTAGAAACCATGCCCTAATCCTAGGTGTGACAAATGATGTAGACACTTAGGATTTAGAATGAAACAGATGATCTCAAGATTCGTTAGAAGAGACAGCCAATCACTGTCAATTTCCTGTATGTCTTGGACCCCTTAACGGGTCTATATTTGTCTGTCTGTCTATCCATCTGTCTCTCCATCAGACAAAGATAATACACAAATACAATATAGGTACATATCTAGCTGTATACCTTGGCTTGCTATATTTCTAAATCACATAACTGCACTTATTTTTGTAATATAATTTAAAATGCATTATCTTAAAGAAAAAAGATACTTACTGCCCTCTAGAGGTATGAACCAGTAGTGTGATAAGTGTAGATGTTGCTGGGCATATACAGTTTAAAGCTAACATGGCGTATTTAAACTCTTCTTCACAAACAACATGATCTGTTTGAAATAAAATAGGTAAATTAGAATAATTTACCTTGGGGTGGTAATATTTTAAAATAATATGAAAAATAAAACAATGAATTAAATTACAAAAGTTTCCATAAAAAAACACACGTTTCGAGATTTTTTTTTTTTTTACCTGTGTAATTTTATTCCCAGGAAAAATGTTTCTTAAGAGAAAGTACTACAGCCTAGGGAACAAAGTCAATAATATTGTGATAACTATGTGTGGTTCTGGGTGGGGACTGGGAATATCAGGAGGCCAACTTTGTAAAGTATATGACTGTCTAACTACTGTGCTGTATTACCCTGAAACTAATCTATAATAATAAAAGCGTAATATACTAATTAGACCAGACGTCCTTCTGGACATCCTTCCGGACGAAGCCGGGGCTATGAGGGAAGCCCAGGTCCTGGGTACCAGAGGGAAGCCGGTGTCGGCAGCTGGAGGAAGGAAGGCCTACTCCTGCACAAATTTTTGTGCATCGGGCCTCTAGTACAAAATAATGTTGAATGTAAACCGTAAGTGAAAAATAAAATTTTTTGAAAAGAGAGTACTAGACTATGAGTTAGTGATTGAGAGGGAAGGGGAGGTGTCTCACCCAAGTTGTGTCTTTAATAAAATAGTTGCTGTTAAAGCCTTTGGCAAAGTATTTCATTTTCCTCTGCCTCATCTGTACGATGGGTGAGATGAGGTAGGTTAGGGGGTAAGCCTGGACAATAAACCAGAGACTTCAAAGTCTCCTACAGTTCTGACAACTCAACTGTACGAAATAAAATAGTACTGATTGAAAACAGTATCGATTGAGCAAAGTCATAGTCACACAGCATAAAGACTTGGAGAGGTATTATTAAAAGAGGTATGGACCCTAGCTGGTTTGGCTCAGTGGATAGCGTGTCAGCCCACAGACTGAAGAGTCTCAGGTTCGATTCCAGTCAAGGGCATGAACCTCAGTTGGAGGCGATCCATCCATGGGTCTCTCACATCAATGTTTCTCCATCTTTCCCCCCTCCCTTCCACTCTCTCTAAAAATCAATGGAAAAACATCCTCAGGTGAGGATTAAAAAGCAAAAATTAAGAGGTGTTGGCAATATTTGCATAACATATAAGGAATAGATTTTGTACCAAACAACTGAAATATCAAGCAGTAACAATGAATGCTGAAATACATTTAATTTTCATTGCACTTTGACCTCAAGACCTAAAGTCATAAACTCAAAAGACGACAGGGTCCAAGTGGCTATTGAAATTCAACGATAAAAAATACAGGAAGGGCCAGACTTGGGGGCACTTGATGGGTGAGGGCACCTTAGAGGGGGTGACCCTGCCCAGCCCACGTCCATATTGTCCTGCAGGAACGAGAGAGAGGGCTTTTAAAATAATAGGATTGCGTGAGATTCTTGGTTTCTTGTTTCTTGTCATTTTTATTATTTTTCATTTAACAGCTTTTAAGATAAGCAGTGACAATTAAGGATGCACGCTTATAGGTAGATATGAGTCACATCTTCTCCAAGTCCCTGGAGCTTTATGGAAAATAAAATTGTTAATTACATTCTAGAAAGTCAGGTTTTTTGTTTTGTTTTTTTAAGTCGGCCTCACAGCGTGTTCTGAGCTCCTGGGTGATTTAAAGGACTAGAAGCTTCTGCCATGCAGTTGCTAGGTAACAGCCCTCGGAAGGCAGCGAGCAGCCGTGGAGAGTGCCCTAAACCAGCCCTGTCCTGGGTGTTGATTTACAGAAAAATCAAAAAACCTTTAAACAGCCATGCAGAGCAGGGCCAGTTTTTTAAACGGATTGTTTTTGTTTTTATTTCTTGGGGGCAAGTTCGGTTATAGAGACCGACTGAACAATTAGTGTTAGAAAATCTCTCAGATGTTGTTTGCTGATTAGACTGTTTATAAGCCTGAGTGGGCAGCTGTCTACCAAAATTGCTGCTTTTTCTTAGAGGAAAATAGATCATCTCTAACAATCAAGCTTGAGTATGATCCTGTTGCTTCCAGTAATAAAACGCCCGAAGGGTGGGGGTGTTGTGCTTGGGTGGGCATGTGTACCTGCCCATACGTCAGAGACGCTGGCCTGTTCTCAGATGGGAGCCTGCGTCGCATCCACAAACAGATTCAGAATAGACTTAAAACCTTGATAAGTCATTTAGTCTCACAAGACCTCACTGTAAGAATGCTTATTGAATATATAGAATTCAACCCTGTGAGAGGCTGGCAACGTGCTCACAACAGATTTATGTCAGCTCAGTCACACTGAGGATACGAAGCAATTTTCTGTGTTTCAAATCACTTGAGTCCTTACACTATTTTAATGCTGTAATGTTTTTAAATGTGTCAAGCTAATTAAATGCTCCAAAGGAGGATTTTTTCCCTGAATTCTAGAACAACAGTTTTAATATCATTAGTCTCTTTTTATACATCTTAGAAAAACAGCAGCTATAATCTTTTATGAAAAATAATTTCCCTCAGAAGTCTATTTCTGTTAGGTCCTAACCTAAAGTGTTCTTTCCTTAGTAGTTCATGATAGGTATTAATATTCTGAGAGTTAATGATATAGTTATTGAATTATCTGAATAGTAACATCATAATAATACCAAGCAATATTCTTCCTTTTATGTTAAATGATGCAGATATATGTATATGTACCAGTATATGTATATGCATATGCATGTGCATATGTATATGTACATGTATATGTATATGTATATATAAATATTATTAAGCTTCACGATATATATTTACATATATTTATGGCTATATGTATATATATATATATATACATATATATATATATACACACATATAAATATATCTGTATAATTAAACCTCATTGGCATATATCATGTTAAACAACTTTCAGATAAGAAATCAGATGTTCAGAAATAACTATCCCAAATCCATTGTTAATTTAGATTCAAGCTGTCTACAAAGAACTCGACAAAATGCCAAAGCTGACTAACCAAGCGCATCAAAATAAGTGACATTCTAGTGGGTTTCCCCTCCGGAAGCCTCTTTCAAGGTTCCCACTTGCTGCCACACAGACACACAGTGCAAACAGTCACGAAAGTGAACTGATGACTGAAAATATACAACGACCATGTTCCCCAAACGCCCGTCACTTAGGGAGGGAGCTGGGGAGGAAGGCGGCCAAGCTTGACCTTGAAATCAATTTTGTTATTTGTCAGTCACACACGAAACACATGTAGCTGCATGGAAATGATTGGAGACCCTGACTCGAAGGGGCTTTGAAAGATCTGGAGAAGACTTAGCAGGAGCAGACATGCTGGGATGAATGTTCTCAGGAAATACTGCAGATCCTATAGAAGCAGACGGAACGATGCCTCTAGGGCCTGCGGACATCAAGAAAGGCATCGCCAGGGAGGTGATGCTTCAACTCAGATTGTAAAAATAATTAAGAATGTGTTCATTGAAAGGTGAAGAAAGTGTACAAGTATTAAAAAAAATTAGAGAAGTAGGAGAATCTAGGCATTTTTATGGACTTAAGTGGACAGAGAGCTCCCACTTCTTAAATTGCCTTGAATCCATTCCTTATTGGAAGCTGATGAGCTAACGTTCTCAAGAGGGAGAGAGGAGGTCGCCAGTGCTGAGTCTTCCATTTCAGGCCCTATGATTTATTATAAGAATAGCTTGATGACTTATTATTTTAATATATATTTTTTTATTGATTTCAGAGAGGAAGGGAGAGGGAGAGACAGATAGAAACATCAATTGTGAGAGAGAATCATGGATCGGCTGCCTCCTGCACGCCCCCCACTGGGGATGGAGCCCGCAACCTGGGCCTGTGCCCTGACCGGGAATCGAACTGTGACCTCCTGGTTCAAAGGTCAACGCTCAACCACTGAGCCTCGCCGGCCGGGCAACAGAATAGCTTGATGACTTAAATATGAACTTGGCACCAGTGACACTTCTTGTTATATTAACATGTTCAGTGAGAATTAATGGTGAGGATGGAGTTGGAGATGTCTATGTGGGTGTTCTATGGGAAATGAAGAAATCACGCGGCAGGAAAAACTCGCACCTCACCGTTTGGTGAACGTCAAGCCTTGCACACACATATGTCATTTAGAAACAGCTAAGATCACTTCCAATATTTATATCACTTGGGAATAGTTTTCCACTCTTTCTTGGGCAGGAAAAAGTGAGGCATTAGAATGTGTGGTGTTACAGTACAAAATAGACGGTGGCTAAACTGAGACAAGATCTTCATTTTCCAGCAAATCATTTCTCCAGGATGGGTGTGTGTGTGTGTGTGTGTGTGTGTGTGTGTGTGTGTGTGTGTTTGCACACCCGTGTGTATATTTATGTGAGTTTTAGACAATACTGTTTTTATAATGGTAACGATGACTACTCACTATCAGATAAATCTTTATACAATATTGCCAGTGACTAAGGTTAAAAAGTATTTACTTCTGCCTCTCCTTTTTACTTTATTGCAACTGATTTTTTTTTTTTTATTATTTCCCAAACTAACTCCTACTATTCTACAATAATGATTCATTCTTCCGGGCATGTTTTAGTCAAGAAATCGGAAATATCACATTCAGTCAACACGCTACTATTCTTCCCTTCATTCATGAACTATTATTCACATTCTGTTGCCTATGAAATACTAGAATCAAAGCATGGAAAATGAAATCCATGGGAAATGTCCACTCCTTTGCAACTTGGTCTTTACATTCTTTCCTCCTGCTTGTGGAGGCACATGTACCAATTTGATTTTCACATCTGCTTCCATCTGTTCAAATGAAATGGGAGCTTTTCAGAGGACACACTAGTGGAAAGATAATGTGCTGATGAAAAGATAAGTGAATATTCACAGATGACACGACACTTTACTTGGGGAGGGGGTGCTGAGAAGAGACAACCTAAATTTAGCAATTAATTTACTCACAAAATATAGATTCAGCTCCCACTGATTTTTGAGTAATTTTTTCCAAGTAGGAGGCAAACAACGAACTTCTTTTAGATTCAGCTGACTAACTGGAGAGGACAGTCTCTTTTGCTAAGTTCACTCAGGGCTTTTCATTAAGAGTCTCACGCATCACCCTAAACCGCTCTGAGGGGCATTTTAAGGAAACCAGGATGCTTTCCTCTTCTCATAATAGAAAAAGAGCCCCTCTGAGATCCGCTCATCTCCACCACCAAAGAATACAGATGAGAAGAAAGTCCAGCAGATGCCATAAGCAAGAAATACTGAGATACACTCTTGGGGATGGAATTTTTAAATATTCCCGTCATTTCAATGAGTTTATCAAAATAATGGAGAATGTGAAAGAGAATCAGTGCAAACAGTCTCTGTGATTTCCTGTCTGTGGGAGTGAACGATTTCAGTGATTTTGACCTCTCTGTTGAGAGCAGGCAGATCAATGGGTTGCAAAGAAGGAGGGAAAACTCAAGTCTGTTCTGATTTTTAGTTATAACATTTTTAAAATCACAACGAATTCAATATCCACTTAGTAAACACCTAACATGTTTCAGACATTATTTCTTTCATCCTTACTGCTAATCCCAACCAATGCAATAGAGGCCTCATATATATATTATGGTCATTTAGCAGGAGGGGGGAGGGGCTCACAGAATACCGATTTGCCCAGCTAAATCTTAAGTGGTGGCGCTCAGAATCAAATCTTTATTTTTAGTGCTACCTCATTACTGCCTTCCTAAACATCTTATCATAGCAAGTCATCTTCGGCATGATGAAAAATTTGCAAAAATATCCCCTTAGCCAAATCATAATAATGACACGGCATTAGTTGCAAAGGTCTTTTGGATAAAGCGTTGGCGTTCTCCTGAATGCTAATTGCATGTGTAACAGGAAATAGATGGATTACTTTAATCTTACAAAATCTTCTACAAAGGAGATGCTATTATTCTTTAATTTTCAATTTAGGAAACAGGCTTAAAGAAACCCTGGCACCAACTCGAACCATTTACATCCGAGTCTCCTGAATTAGCACTTTACAAAAACCTCCCAAAGGGACTAAAATGCAGCCAGAGTCCAGAGCCACTGGTTGAAGTTGCATGCTGTACATTTTCAGAAAAAAATGATGTCATTCGTCACAAAGCTCAAAGATAAAAGAGCAAATCCCATAGCAGTAATTTCGTGGCTTTCTGATGAGCATTTAAAAGTGTGTATAATTTTTCACTGAAATAGTATATACGGTAAGCATTTTACTAAGATATGTGAGCACCTGAAGGAGATGCATTTTGCTACCACCGTTAACATGATTTCCATTTTAATGGCTTTGAAGCTTTAGACCATTCAGGTGGAATATAACATAAAACCAACAAGTTACACAGACTCACGGATACAGAGAACGGACTGACAGCTGTCGGGGGAGAGCTTGTGGGGCTGGGTGAAAAAGGTGAAGGGGTTAAACAAAAAGAAACCCCATAGACAGACAACTGGCTGGTGATGACCACAAGGAAAAGGGGGTGAGGGTAGAAGAGAGTAAAGGGGAGATAGATGGTGATGGAAGGAGACCTGACTTTGGGTGGTGAGCACACAGTATACAGATGATGTGTTATAGAACTGTACCCCTGAAACCTATCTGATTTTTATTAACCAATGTCACCCCAGTAAGTTCAGTAAATTTTTAAAAAGAAAATAAAAAAATAACTAATACTAATATAAGGAAAAAGAAAAAAATGTATATTATTGCCTTGATCAAAATTAGTTCCTAAAGAAGCATTGAAGAAAAAGATAAAATACCATTTTACTATTTAAGTTCCTAAGAAAATATAATCTCATGAGAATAATTATTTTAAAAACAGTGACTCCATAAAAAACAAACTCTTGTGTCTCTCTCTAAAAAACTCATGTGTCTCTCTCTAGAACTGTTTTTGAAATCTTCCCCCAAATTCCATGGTAAATTTACATGTGTATTAAGTAACCTATAGCGAGGGTGAATGTAAGCATAAATGAACAGATATAACATGTGGAGCCTGTGTCTATATTAAGCACAAACTATCACTGCTCATCTATTCAGGCATAATAAGGATCCAGAAACTTCAGCTGCTAAAAATCACCAAATTATATAACAAAGTAAAGCCTCGCCCCAACACATTATCTTGTCACCGTTACAAGTGAATAAATTATCTTGTGCAGCAGACGCTGACAAAAGGAAACCCTTGTGTCCTGTAGAGACACGAGTATCACAGGTTGCCACTACCTCCAGACTCCTCCCCGTCACCATCACAGTGGGAGTCTGAGAGCACTCAGAGGGTCTCCTTCGAGACTCAACTTACCGGCGAATTTGATGTGGAATTTATTCTCGGGCTTCAGAATCTGGACATACAAAGGGCAATTGGGAGCAAAGTCCTTTACAGCCCACGCTCTCAAGATCGTCTGGTGGTCCTGAAAAGATGAAAATCGCAATGGCGTGAAATACGTCGGGGAATGTATAATGCAGTCCCCTGCCAGTGATGGCCCACATATGCAGTGGTGGGCCCATCAGGCTGGAACAGAGCGGAAAAATTCCTATCGTCTAGAGCCGTGGTCGGCAAACTGCGGCTCGCGAGCCACATGCGGCTCTTTGGCCCCTTGAGTGTGGCTCTTCCTAAGCCTTAGGAGCACCCTAATTAAGTTCATAACAATGTACCTACCTGTATAGTTTAAGTTTAAGTGGCTCTCAAAAGAAATTTCAATAGTTCTACTGTTGCTATTTGGCTCTGTTGACTAATGAGTTTGCCGACCACTGGCCTAGTGGCATCGTAGCCTTCATAACCTTGTAGGCAAAGGCTGCAAAAATCCGCCAGGCTGTGGTTGAGATGGCGAACGACTTTAATCTGGGTGTGAATGGGGCCACTGGGGAGCTGTCTAGTGGAGTGTTGCTGAATGCTCAGGTCTAAGAAAGATACAGAGAATTATATCAGCCCTGGCTGGTTTGGCTCAGTGGATAGAGTGTCGGCCTTCGGACTGAAGGGTTCCAGGTTCGATTCCGGTCAAGGGCACAAGCCCAGGTTGTGGGCTCTATCCGCAGTGGGTAGGCATACAGGAGACAGCCGATCCATGATTTTCTCTCATCATTGATGTTTCTATCTCTCTCTCTCCCTTCCTCTCTGACATCAATACAAATATATATATATTTTAAAAGAATTATATGAATCTCATGTATATTTGAAGCTAAATGAAATAAGATGTGTAAACTTTATCTGAATGTGTCAATAAATAGATCAACATAGGATAGAATACTTAGTGCAATTAGCAAATGTCCAATAACTAGTTATCAAAAAGATGTCATGACTGGTAACAGATACTGTAATATACAGCTGACTTTGAAAGTTTTGGGGGGTGGGGTGGGAAGCAGCATATAGGATTGATCACTGGGAATTGGTCATGCAAAAATGGTCTAGTTTGTGAATATATGATGCATTTCATTCTGATCAACAGAAAACCCAAACAAACAAATTCAAAAGACTTTTGTTGACACTGGTAATGATCCAACTAAACCTATATTGTAGTAAAGATAGTTTTGAGGTATTTGCTTCTTTTTTAGGGACATTGTGATGTCACTAGGATTTAGTGCCGGCAGATAAAAAATAATCCAATTTTTAGAAAGTCTTCTAAGGTGAAAAGAAAAAATGACTGGCAGAGATTTTAGAAACTTACAGAGGACGTCCTGTCCACCTCACAGCGGCTGCTCAGAATGAAGCAGGCCTCCGCATCGTCCATCCTGAAAGCAGACAGAAAAGCGAAATGACCATACACTGAGTAGCCATTTATTTATCGTCTGAAAAGTAGAATGTCGATGTTTTCTCCAATGCACACAAACTAAATGAAAAAACTCTGAGCATCCCTCAGTGAAAGCTGAGTTTCAAGATCATGACTGTATTTGATGGTGAATAAAATAACTATGGAATTGGCTCTATAACTCACCAGTTTATAATGAGAGACGTAGTAAGAAAAGCCACATTTTATTCTCTGTAATCCTATATAATAAAAAGCTAATATGCTAATTAGACCAGACAGCAGAATAACCAGTGGGCAGGGGGCGGGGCCGTGGGGTGCGAGGCAGCCAGGGCCACGAAGGCCTACTCTTGCACGAATTTCGTGCATCAGGCCTCTAGTAATTATATATTTTTCCATATACAGCATGTCCTTGAATAACCTGATTTCGTTCCATGCCATTTTGTTATAACGTTGATAAGGTGTTGTAGGACCTTAACTCCTGTCCACATGAATTCACCTCTGGTAAGAACTGGTTTTGTTAAATCAGGGGTCCTCAAACTACGGCCCGTGGGCCACATGCAAATACAAATATTGTATTTGTTCCCGTTTTGTTTTTTACTTCAAAATAAGATATGTGCAGTGTGCATAGGAATTTGTTCATAGTTTTTTTTTTTTAAACTATAGTCCGGCCCTCCAGCAGTCTGAGGGACAGTGAACTGGCCCCCTGTTTAAAAAGTTTGAGGACCCCTGTGTTAAATACATCCTTACAACCCCAGGATAAGTAGGAGGATGTATTTAAAACTTTAAAAGCAACAGAAAACATCAACAGAGCCACCTCTGCTAGGAATCTCCTCTGGCTCCTTCACTGTCCTCCTCCGCCCAGTTCGTAATGCAAATGCTTTAAAAATTAAACGTTGACTTGAACTGACATGTCACCTAATATTTAGCCCAAGATTTTTCCTCACAGAATAAACACCATGTCAGGGATTTGGAGATTAGTCTAAGGGTGAGTCTGGACACCAGCCCATCCCTGACACCCGAGACCATCAACCACGCACACTCATTGTGCTGTGTGGACAGTCTGCTGACCATCTTTGCCCCGAGAAACAGGAGCAAACGCATTAATTTTGTATTTTTTAGCTTTGCATTTGACCAGCGGCGGGACTAAGGCAAAACTCTGTCTTCAAAGATACTGAAACTTATCTTGCAACACTGAACATGGCTAGAAACTGGAGCAGAGAAATATCAAGTCCCGCAGGTGGAAAGTGATAGGGAGGGAGGGCCACCTACTTTGCTCTCAGCAGATCCTGGTCTTTCAGGGCGGAACCTTGAAGGTAGATGACTCTCTGCGACCACATGGGGATCTGCAGCACCCTCCGGACTTGCACGTCCATTTCCGTGGGGCACAGAATCACCACGTAATAATCCTGTTCAGAACAGCGAGGGCGATGGGGTAGAAGCAAACATGCCCGTGGTTATACCGCACAGGCACACGGAATATCTAAGAGCATCCCGGAAGATGATCAACTGGGAATGCGCTCTAGCTCATAAATGAAAGCTTGCATCTTAACGCCGGGGCATGTGCCAAATCACACAAGACTGAAATAAACAGCTCCGACGTATAAATCTCATAAATCAACGCGTTCCTCCTGATCTTTTTCAGTCTTACTAGCACCAGGAAGAAAAGATACTTATATTGCAGCACACATTTCCAGCCTCTGAAGTTTTCCGTTTTAGGCTGATTCTAAAATAATACATAGCATGTCAGGCAAAAGTAATTAGTGTCCATTCAGACTTCAAATATTTACTTTCAGGATAAAAGCTGTGATGGTGATTTCTATCGTTTGGTACTGTTGTGAACTGATGACATTGACAAATTTCTGATAGTAGAATGGCTAAAGATTTGTAAAAATACTGATAATACTGACAAAGTAATTAACGTGTTTGAGATAAAAATATTTCAAAATAGTAGTCCTTTGGAGACAATATAAAGGTACTATTCATGATGAAATGGCTTCAAACAACTGATGTATAGGGATTACAATTCTCTGGGAAACAGTCATCATTTTATCACTCTAAAATATATTGATCAATTTTTATTCCTAGTAAAATTTCTTAGAGTTTTAAGAATTCTCTATATTGATATTAGGATACTATCAATAAATTACCAGGGATCCGAATTTCCCCCCAAATAGATTTTCTTTATAGGTTATAATGAGCAAACCTGAAATTATTTAATATGAAAATAAAAAAACCAACAAATAGGGAGTTTCTCCCAAATATTCAAATTAATTTATATAAAAACAAAAGGTACTGTATAAATTAGGTATCACCTATAAATAAGATTTTTATATATAAAAATTGTATTTCAAAAGTACAATTATTTATGAAAAAATCTTTATTGCAGGGCGAGGTAATCAGATATACTCAGTACTGTTTGTATCTCAGAATGGTCCAACCTTTTGACACAAATTTACTGAAGGGAAAATACTGATGATACTGACAGAGTAATTAACGTGTTTGAGATCAAAGACATTCAGGTAGTTCTTTGCTGTTTAGATGGAACTAAATCTTCAAGCAGCAGAGATTACCACCTTTGACATTGGCCCAGTCCTGTGCCAAGAGTAAGAAGTATCTCAGCGTTTTATCTGCAGAGGCAAATAAAGAGGTATTTATGATTTCATGTTCTTAATTCAGCGAGTTATTGTCTGAGTTTTGGTCACGTATCGCTACTGTGAGTAGGACCTAGTTACACTCCAGGAAACAAAAGAAAAATCAGAACTTTCAGTTCTCCATGTTTCCATCAGCAACACTTGATGAAACTGACAGGTTCGAGTGAGCAGATGGCATTGAAATGATTTGTTCATTGTTTTATTAGACTTTGTGTTCAGTTTCACTGTTCCATAAAAATACCACTTATACATTATCCAAGGAAGAAAAATATCAATCAGGCTAGTTCAGAGAAAACCTTTCCCTTTAGCACTAACATAATCCCATCTGTCTGTTAGTGTAGATGCAGAAGCAAACTAAAATATCGTGTATTCCTTCCACATCTTTTCCTGTGTTCCTGGTTATATTTGTAGTCCTTCCTTTACACTTTCTAAATCTGAGTGCCTAACACGAGTCCTCCGGAAGGCAGGATGCACCAGCCGTCGATTGACGTTGACAATCTGTTAGTGGGTAGGATCCGGCAGCATGCACAATAGAACTGAAACGTACCTGCAGTCTCGGGTGGGCGTAGAACTCGTTTAAAAAGTCCATAAGTAGGTCGATCTTCAGTGAACTGACACACAGGACAACATGCTTTTCCGTTTGAGCTCTGTGGCGACTGTAGTTCCCACCCGACTTCTGCCTCTCCATCCACAAGTAGGCCAGCTGCTCAAACTGGAGCGCGTGTCCACATGCGAAGGAAAAACACGGGCGTGAAAGAGAAACTTGTGCAGCCCGCCCATTGTCGGTTAGGTGTCCTCCGTTTCTTCGACGGAACCCATGCAGATCCCAATTACGTGTTCCCTTCAACAACACACTTCTCACACGATTGCTGCTGAGCAGGCTAATTGCGACAGGGCGTTAGTAGGTGAGTGCCTCTGGTTTATGTCCAATAGAGCATGACTCAGCACATGTCTGCCATGGGCTGAGTCTAAGGGAAAAGTCTCATTGGCATTTCCTCCACATTCTCTGTCAAGTTCACCCCGAATCTCATGCAATGGGATACCCTAACCACACAACACAGGAGACCACAGTTGGATAATAGCTGGCATGTAGGGGAAGTGGAGAGTGCAAATCCAGGGAGTCCCCCCGCAAATGTATACACACTTTAACAGCTGATAGCTGAATTGATGTGTGTTTTTTTTCTTTTCAGATCTAACCCATTGGAATGAATAATTATTCAAAGTGTGTATACATTTGCGGGGGGGGGCACTCTGCATATATAATCAATTTTTATTCCTTATGATGTTTGGCTTTTAGATGACTTCGAGAAACAAGAGAAACCAACCATTCACAAGTTTGCTTTCTTGATCTCTCATTCTATGATTAAAAACTGTGTCATCATTAACTGTCATTAATGCAGATAAATGCCCTGTACATAAAAGGAACATCTTGAAGAACTGAAATGAGGTGTGAGCTCTGAGTTGTGCATGAAGGGGGGAAAACCCTCTGTTTCTAACTTACTGTCAAAAGGCTGTTCTGAGCCGGATTTAGTTAATTTGCTACAGATAATAAGAGCATGCATCAATGTATTAGATTAATAAAGACTTGGTTTTATTAGACGTCACACACTTTGACAAAATCCTTCATGGTGACATTTACCTGTATGGGGAGGACCACAAGGGCCACACAGATCATAGCCACGACAAAGAGCTTGGAGGACCAGGTTTCGGGAGTGACATCCCCAAAGCCCACGGTCGAGAAGGTCACGATGCAGAAGTAAAGGGAGTCGAAGAGGTTGAGCTTCTTCCCGATCCGCTCCAGATGCTGGATCCCACAGATGCTGGAGACACACGCACATGAAGATGAAAACGTTCGCATCGGCACATTGCTTCTCACCATCGTTCACTGGCAAGCCAAAGCCCATTTCACGGAGCCCCTTAATGGCGGTGATCTTATATTGTACATTTTTCCTGACGAAAACATCATTTTTAAGGTTTTTTTTCTACCTTAACCAGATATGCTGTTATTTTGAAGTAAAAAGTGTATCTTCAGGCCCAGCCAGTGTGGCTCAGTGGTTGAGCATCAGTCTATGAACCAAGAGGTCATAGTTAGATTCCTGGTCAGGGCACAGGCCCGGGTTGCAGGCTCGATCCCCAGTGTGGGGCGTGCAGGAGGCAGCCGGTCCATGATTCTCTCTCATCACTGATGTTTCTATCTCTCTCTCCCTCTCCCTTCCTCTCTGAAATCAATACAAATATATTTTTAAAAAACACCCCCAGAAAAGGTCTTTGTAGGACAACTCAGCAATACAGATCAGTAGCCTTAAAAAAAAAAGTCTATCTTCAGGATAGGTAGAGTCATAGTTTATTGCTATGCCATCACCTTATTCTTGAGGCTAAGACAGTTGTAACAATGAAATACCCTTGATTTGCATCGTGCAAATCAAGTGAATAATGCAAACATTATTCACTTGTGTATGAGCTATTTTTCCTAGAACTGAGGATGCTACCACATGACATATAAAGTCTGAAGCTATTCCATGATGATTATCCATTTTTAATATAGATCGCTATCTTTTCCATCCCCAGATGTCCTTGGAGTCATTATTAAATGAAAACCGCCTCTTCTTCCTGACCATAATTGATGAATTGCAGCTAATTACTATTTTGTATTTGTACCCAGAAGTGATTTTAATGATGTGCACAGATTTTCTGATAAATGAAATCCCAGAAAGGCTCACATACAGGAGCACATTCATAATAAAAAATATCCTATTTTGTCTTGTCTTAAACAGAAACACTTTTTTTTTTCAGTCAAACACCAAGTTCAACTATTTAAATTATATCCTGAATTGAAAGTGGCAGAAGAACTTAGTCATGTAGAATTTAAATAATCATAACTGGTGGATATTAGTAAACACTCTCTTACCTTTAAATCTTAAATCTTAATGGGATTTAATATTGCTTTTTGACTAGGCAGTAACATATTTTTTAAAGCTTACTTAAAATACTTGGTTTTAGTGTATATCTAATTATAACAATATTTTTGTTGATTATCCTATATCCCGTGCCCAAACATTTGAAATTAATATAATCTGCAATTTAAGATAGAAGAAAATAAACCAGTTTCACACCATGCTCTATGTAACACTTTGTTTAGTTAATAGGCATAAAATGAACATAGCAACAACAACAACAACAACAACAACAAAAAGTTACTCAGATTCATTGGTAGTGGTTGACTTTAAAATGAAACGTGGCAAGTAAATATAATTTTCCTATAGTTCCTCTATTGTAAATATACCTGCAAATTTCAAATAAAAAATGTTTGATTTAAAACCAATAGGTGTTAAAAAAAAATTTACTTAAATATGTCATAATGAGTAACGTAATATCGTAAAAGTCCTATTTATTCATACACATACATTTCCTGATGGTTTATTAGGGCCAAGCATTGTACTGTATGTGCACTCCAGTCTATACCTGAAGTGAATGATTTTGACCTCCCTTTTATAATACTACTACTACTAATGTCATAAATGAATAACCAAGCATTTAACTTATAACCTGATGGATGCTAACTTGGGTCAATTACTTAAGCTTTTTAAACTTCCTGCTTCTCAACTGAAAATTAAAGGTAATATTAACTTCTCCATTTGTTTATCATGCGCCAGTGCAGCAAAATGCTGGCACATAATAACACTCCTTGAATTCGGTGGCAATTTTGTTCTTTATATTCCAGCCCCTGCAAAGATAGATAGATAGATAGATAGATAGATAGATAGATAGATAGATAGATAGATAAGCACACAAAACAATGAGGCAAATCTAAGGATCGAATATCAATACAAAAATATTACATTAAAAAAATATTACAAAGCCTTTGTTTTCAACTTGACTGCAGACCCCGGGACTTGGGAGAAAGAGCAGCAGAGAGGACACTGCAGGTGGATTCCTCTTGGCTGTGGGTTTACTAACGGCTTTTAACGGCAGAAAACCAGCCACGGGTTAATGCGTCGCCGTCATCCCGGCCAGTCTGCCCAAACCTGCGTCTCCGCGGGGGTGGGAGTGGGAGTACAGGCCGGCACTGGGGGCTCAGGCCGTGCAATGTCAACTCAGAGCTCCAGCTGTTTACACAGACCCCATGCCGACCAGAGTGACCTTTCAGGGCTCACGCCCGTCACTTACGGGAACTGACAGCTAATTCTCGGTAAAGTTCTATTTCCAGGCCCAAATGTCAATAGCAGATCAATGACTTGTTTTTTCAGAGAGCTGCTTATCGCTGAGATTGCTAGAATGAAACAATGTCCATGCTAATTACATAAAAGACTGCATTTATGTGAATCACACATGCATATGTTTTCGGTTTATGTAGCTCACGAACCTACGCAACTACGAAGTATAACACTCCATAGTAATAGTTGAATTTAAATGTTAAAACACTAACATTAGGGGAGGGATCCCAATAAAATTGTCTCTTTGTGTATTATTTTTTCGCATACACTCATACTTCAGTTTAAATAGGTACTTAATTTTTTGTTCCATCACAATTAAATACATCTACTTTTTTGGATATTCTGTGCATTTTGGGGAATTCCTGCCATGCACAGACTTACGTGTTTTGCTTTGTTTTTTGGTGCATAATTGTGGTTGATACTCACAATATTGAACTTGCAGTGCACTTCCAAAACTAATTCACAAAGCCATTTCTGCCTTAACGTAACAGTACCCATGTGACAATATTTGTCTTAAAGATTACGGTCACAGAATTAAAAAAACAACCTTTAGGGACGGGACAGCCGGGTACTCTGGCAACTCTACCTACAGCAGCGGGGACATGCATGTCGACTATGCAGCCCAGAGGACAACATGCCAGGGAGCCCAGGACGTTCTTCAGGGCGCACTCTGACCTTGACCATCACCAACGGATACTTAGAAACAGAGAGCAAGGTCCCTGGGAATGTTAAACCGTCTCATACAATCAGAACGGATAAGAGGTTGACTATACCAATTGAGCCATAAGGAACAAATACAGCTCATGAGAGGTACTGTATAAGGTTCTATTTTGTTTTCATCCAATATTTGTTGATCTTCCAATACGACCTATAGATGTCGGGGATAAAGGCAACAAATAATAATGACATGAGGTCACGAATATTAGGACACTTTTGCTGGTGGAAAGGAGTGAGAATTATTTCATTTGGGGGGTATGTCATTCCTAAGGGATGCAGGTGCAATCCATTGCAATAATGTATTTTATTAATATACATATACCCATAATAAGCCAGTCTTACACTCTGTGGATAAACCCTACTTGGTGGTAATTTTGTTACACTCCCAATATTTTCAATTCCAAAGAAAAATAGTAAAATGCACTTATTACAAAGACAAATAAATATATAAATGAGAAAGTAATATCGACCCACTCCTATCTACCTTTGCGGTAATTACTATTTAGTAAGTACTCTTTTGCTTGCTTGCTGTTTGTTTGTTTTGTTTTTTTAATGAAAATGCACTTTAGATTTTAGTTGGCAGTTTATTACTGTAGGATTTTTATATCCATCTTTTTAAAGGCATCCCGGTCTGTAGTTCTCTGTCTCAATACATGTTCGGTGAAAAGCCAATTTGGCCAAAGATGCTAACCAGACACAAAGTTCTGCAGTCGAATCCATTTGGCAACTCTGGGTTAAGCATATTTTCTTTAGCAAAGACTTCTCTGATGTTTTTAATGAGTTAATATTCATCACAACTCGGAGAGTGGAATTTTTATAGGTTTAACCGAACATATCTGCCAAAGTTCTGAGAAGATTAGGGTTTTACAGTGATGAAGACATTAGCTCATACTGGGCGCTCTGCCTGAGTGTGTTAGAATCACAGTTTAGCTTAATCATTAAACGAGGTGGATAACATTGGACCTTGTCCGCGCCGTAGCTTATACTGTCCTAGATTAACTGGCCCCTGAAGAAATGTAATAGTGAAACTGTCTGGCCCTGAAGTCTTCATTTTTTTAATGGAGATGAAAAGACATAATTTTAAAATGCCGCATTTTGAAAGGGTTCCGTTTCTACCTTTAATCTCAATTTAACACTGCTTAAGAGCCCATAAGTCAGCATTCTGGAATGAGCGACTATTCCAGCCATACATCCATAAGATTCATGATGCCTGACTCATCATGCTTTGGCCTTATACTGAGTTTCTATGAATCTGAATTTTGAGCACATGTAGCAAAATACAGTTTCTAAATACAGGCCCACAGCAGCCATCTTGAGCGCTGGCTGAGCCTGGAAGCAGCTCCAGAGCCCCGGAGAGAACAGGGCACAGTTCCTCCGAAGCACTGCAAGTATTAAAATGTGCATCCCCGCACTGAGCGGGCCATCTGGGAAGAAAGGCTCCGGTGGTATCTCGTTTAAAAAATAAAGCTTCATTCTGTTTTTGTTAACTGGGACACGGTTAAAGCTCACTAAAGATAATTTTAGTTAAAAAAAAAAAAAACAACTGTGCTAACACAGGCAAACGTCATAACCACATTAATTTTAAAAAGGATTACGGCCCCCTTTGCACTAAATACATCGAACCATGATCTAGATCATAACAAGCATTTCATTTCTAATTGTCCTTTGAAATAAAGCACCAATTTAAAGTGAAATTTATTTTTTTCAGTCTCGTTTTAACAAAACATTCTTCCATTTACATGAGCTAACATCTTAATTTGTAGAATTTTAAATCCCCTTTTTTCACTCACATAATGAAAAAAAAAGAAAAGATCACCAGGGAATGAGATAGACATTAAATATGACTACGCCAGCATTAGCAGAGTGATATGTGGTCTTTCTCATATCAA